CTAGGCTAATGCGACAAACCTAAGGACTAGGCCCGAATTAACCGTACTTCCGCTAAGTATAGGAAACACCTTTTAGCCGCTAATGCTACCCTAGTCGGCTCTTTCAATTAGTCGAAAAAAGAGTAAGCGCCGTACTAACTGTTAGCCTTGTACGGCGTAAGACTATCGACATTGTGCTAGCTATAATACGCTCCTGCCTTATATAGGACACGAAGGGCACTACCTATTAAACTAAGGTTATACTAGATCTAGGAAATTTAGTTAGTGCCCTTATTAGCTATCGCCTAGCTAAGCAATTAGACCTTCGACAACTGCCGAAGACTGACCTGCTAACCCTTGCTTAGTTTAATAACGCTCGGCACTTAACCTATAGAGCCTACTATATTCCTATAGCTCTAAAGGACGACCTCGGAAATAAACGCCTACTAGACTTTACTACCTACGCAGTGGATATAGACAACCTATATAGGGGAGCTACTATTGTTATTAGCAACCCTATTCTTAAGTACTACGCTATAGCTATAGACCTAGGCCTCTAGAAGTAGCGATTTAGAATCGCTAGGAAAGAGGATATTAAACACATTAATATTAGCGAGTATCCTAATAATATTAGGGTCCTGTTTATTAGCAACCTAATACTAGCCTCCGCCTTAGCTAATCCGACTGCCGACCTACTCGGTAATAACGATAAGCCTGTGCCCCCTAATAGTATAGACCCTAATTAGCTTGCTCGTATACTAGAGCCTATTCGAGAGACCTATATTAATGTATTTAAACATTACCTAGCATCGACATTGCCTATATTTAAGGAGACGGATTATAAGATTAACATTATAGAGGGCAAGGAGGTTCCTTTTAGCCCCCTCTATAACCTTAGTAAGCGAGAGCTTGCTATATTGCGTAAGTACCTAGAGGAAAACCTAGCTAATAGTCGAATTCGGTATAGTAATAGCCCTGCTAGTGTACCTATCCTGTTCGTACTAAAGAAGGATAGTAGCCTACGCCTATATATCGACTATCGCGGGCTTAATACTATTACTATTAAAGACCGCTATCTACTCCCCCTTATTAATAAGACCCTCGATCGCCTTTCTAGGGCTTACTACTACACTATACTAGACATTAAGGATGCGTACTATCGTATCCGCATTCGTAAGGGTAACGAATAGAAAATAGCCTTCCGTACTCGCTATAGCTATTTCGAATACTTAGTTATGCTATTTAGCCTAGCTAATGCCTCTGCAACATTCTAGTCCTATATCAATCGAGCCCTATTAGGCCTATTAGATTACCTCTGTATAGTTTACCTAGATAACATCCTAGTTTATATACACTTACCTAACATTGCGGAGCACTAGGCTATAGTCCGCAAGGTCCTCGACCGCCTACGAGCCTATAGACTATATTATAAGCCTTCTAAATGCACCTTTGCTACTAAGGAGGTAGCCTTCCTCGGTTTCATCGTATTAACTAATAGTATTAAGGCTAATCCGGATCGGATTAAAACAATTACTAAATAGCCTATTCCTACGTCTATTAAGGAGCTTTAATCGTTCCTCGGCTTCGCTAATTTCTACCGCCGTTTTATTAAGGGCTATTCGAGGTATATAATACTATTAACTAAGCTTACTAAGACTAAGGTAAACCCTTCTAGAGAGTTTAGGTAGACTAACAAAACACAAGCCGCTTTTAACGGTCTAAAGAAACGATTTACTAAAGTCCCCTTGTTATACTATTTCGTACTAAGCAAGTAGATCCGAATTGAGACTAACGCTTTATAGTTCGCTATATCGGCTATTATATTACAGCAATCAGATAATAACTATTACTAGCACCCGATTGCCTTCTTTTTACGAAAGATAATCGATATAGAACGTCGATATAAGACCTACGAGCAAGAGCTCTTAGCAATCGTAGAAGCCTTTAAGTATTAGCGCTACTATCTTAATAGTGCTTAGTATACAATTTGGGTCTATATAGACTATAACAACCTCCGTAGCATTACTAGGGTTACTAGGGTTATAGGTCGATAGGCTAGATAGGCCGTCTACCTCGCCGGGTTTGATTTTAATATATTATACCGGCTAGGCGTAAGTAACCCTACCGATAGCCTATCGAGGCGACCTAATTACGATAGCGAGACCTAATACATTAATTCTTTGTTTCTAACCCTATAGTATAAGATTGCTATAGCCTATATTATTAATAAGCAAGCGTAGGATAAGCGGACTTCCGGACCCCGCGGCGGCAACAAATACTATAGCGGAGTTGTCGTTCTTCTAGTATGCGTTAGAAAGGACGTAGATCGCTCGAGCTATAATAACTCGATTAAAGACATTGCTATCTATAGTAATAGCCTATATAGCGATAGCACTATAGAAGAGGTTGTAGTAGTTCCGGCTGCTAGTGCTATTAGATATATACAATACGTACCTCGTTTAATAGCGAGGGTGCTATTAAATAACCTTATAAATAGGGATAGTTAATCGTTTATAAATAAGCTATTGCGTACTTAGCAGAGGGACGCCTTTGCTGTCGAGCGTATTAATAGGCTTATAAGTAGGCGAACGACTCGATCTAGTAAGAGTAATTAGTCGATCGACGACAAAGGTTACTTAAAGTTTAAGGGCAGATACTATGTCCCCGCTAAACAATCGATTAGATAAGAGCTTTTAAAGAGGCACTATAATAGTAAGCTCGCTAGTTACTATAGTATAGAGAGGTCGTACGAGTTACTATCGCGTATATACTACTAGCTAAATAGTAAGCGGCATATAAAGGAGTATATACAGACCTATATAGTATACTAGCGAGTTAAAGCACTAAAGCACTTACTATTTGGCGAGTTGTCTTCACTCCCTGTTCTAAAGAAGCCTTTTATAGAGCTTATAATAGACTTTATTACAGGTCTTCCCCCTACTAAGCGAAGAGGAAGCAAAGACGTCTTTAACGCTATACTAGTTATTATAGACCGATTTACTAAGGGTGCTCGCTACATTCCTGCTCGCAAGGATTGGACTGCTATTAATATAGTAGAGGCGCTATAGACTAATATCTTCTGTACCTATTAGGGAACCCCTAAGGGGATAGTCTCCGATAGGGGCTCGACATTTATATCGCACTATTAGAGCGAAATATACCTATAGCTAAGACTGAAGCATCGGCTATTAATAGCCTTCTATCTATAGACTAACGGTTAAACAGAGAGACAGAATGCTACCCTATAGCAGTACCTACGTAGTTACATTAACGAGAATCCTAAGGATTGGGTTAACCTCCTATAGCCTATAGAATTCGTGTACAATAATAGTATACACTTATTAACTAAGGTTTCACTATATATAGCTATAATAGGTTAAAACGCCGCGTTGCTATAAGATCTATTTACCTCGCTCGAGGCCGAGCGTAAGGAAAGGGAAGCGCGTTAAGTACTAGAGACACTAGCGGCAATAGAACGTATCTAGAAGATGCGAGAAATCTATACTAAGATAGCTAAGAAGTTAACAAAGGCTTAAGAATACTAAAAGGCCTACTACGATAAGCGTTACACACTAATAACCTTTAAACAAGGCGATATAGTTATGCTTAGCACTAAGAACCTCCGCATCCGCAAATACCTATCGCCTAATAGTAAAACAAGGCCTAAGCTCGTACTAAGATATATTAGCCTATTTCGTATCCGAGAACCGAAGGGCAATAGCTAGGCCTACTAGTTATAGCTTCTACCTTATTACACTATCTATAACACCTTCTATATCTCCCTCCTTAAACTATACTACTAGCGCGAAGGCGATAAAGCACCTGCTAAATCCGAGGATATACTAGCTAATAGCGAAGAGCTATAGTCTATAGAACGTATCCTAAAGCATCGGACTAGATAGGGTAAGAAGGAGTACCTATTAAGATAGCAAGGCTATTTACCTAAATAGGACTTATAGGAGGCTAAAGACTCGTTTAAGGATATAACTGAGTTATTAGATGAGTATTGGACTAGCGTAAAGAATATAAAGAAGGCTAAGAGCTTATAATGTTACTACTAAGCCTAGGAACAATACTACCCCCGGGGTGCTATTAGCTAACTAATTAGAGGTAAGCAATTGTTAGTAACAAAGGACAATAAGACTACACTACTATAGTAAACGCGCACTAAGTGTTAATAAGCGCGCTATAACGCGTTAACTATTCGCTACTCTTTTAGGAAACTACCTCTCTACTAACGCGCCTTATAAGGCCCTTCTCCTAGTATTTAGGTCCCCCTCTTGTTCCTTTATTCTGTTAAGGCCTCGAGGTCTAAGCGATCGGCGAAGACGACGTCGCGCTTATAACGGCACGGCCGGCGCGGCTATGTTAGTAACGGTATTACGGAGTGTATTATTAGTCGAAGAAGGAAATCGAAAGCAAGGTAAAGTTAGCGCTAAGACGACTAGCGCCGCTATTGTTAATATTACCTAGTCGCTACTATTGTTAACCTTACCTATACTACGAGCCTAAGGTAGTAGTGTCGCTTAGTACTAGTATCGCTTAGTACTAGTATCGCTTAGTACTAGTATCGCTTACCGCTAGTATCGCTTACCGCTAGTATCGTATTAGATAGCGGTACTATTAGCGTATTAGATAGCGGTGCTGTTAGCGCATTGTAGTGCTAGTACTATTAGCGATATAAAAGTGCAGCCTAAGGTTTAGGGTACGTAATTGCGACTCGAATTGTTAGCTAATTATAGCGCGCGCTTAATTTTGCGGGCGTATCTTTAAAATCTAGCCTCTATAGTATATAGTATATATTGCTACTACCTCTTTGCTAACAACAATAATAATAACTATATGTTATTAGTAGCAATCTGATTTATTCTCGATCTCTACGCTAGACTAAATAGACACCTTCTACAACCTTCGTCGCAAGCTCCTTAGGTTGCTCTAGGTGCCTGTTTTTAGTCTGTCGCTCCGCTCGAATAAACCTAGATAAAGCAAATATAAGAGGCAGTGGGACGAGGGAGAGGAAGATGTATTTTGGGAGCGTGTCGTGATGAGACTTCGATTCAGATTACTCTGGAAGTACGGCAAATGGTTTTCTATGGTCTCGTTCGTATATGTCTAGAGCATCCGTTCTCCAACCCGTGGTTGCGAGAGGTCTCTATTGATCTCATCTCGGTATACAATGACACACAAATCGTGTCTTCGCAATGGTATAGCATGGCACTCTTGGCCTGCTTCATGCATCGCAAGATCAAAAAAGAAAAAAACATCCTCCGATCCTGATGCATTTATAGTAAAACCTTCAAAAAATCACTCATATCCCTGTGAGAAATCCTCCGACGCTGGTACCCGTAGAATCTGCAAACATCCTCGACCTCGAAAGTCAACTCTCATCGCCTCTAGGCCAGGCTGACGCTCACGAAGAACGTAACAGGTACACCAGAGAACTTGCCCTCGATATGTCCTCCAGTCACTCGACAACCAATTTCTTAAATCCGGCATGACAAGCTATCGAGTTGAAAAGGACAGTGTCTTGATCAGCAGGGACAGCGAGCCAATCGAAGTCGATCGAGAAAGTCATGTCATGCCCATCATCGGCCTTGGTCACCCAGCGAAGCGTTTCAGAAGGGTCGACCATGGTGTTCCAGTTCGCACTGTTGCACATCTTGTCGGCGGTTGCGAGGAGTGTGGAGTCGGTTGAGCCGGAGTATGCAGATGTACCGCCGCAGACAGGAGCGGCCCAGTCGGATGGCACTGATGGGGTGTATGTCATGCCAAAACCATCTGCTGGTGGAGCTGCGTCGCATTCGTGGACGATGCCGGCATCTGTGCAGACTGCACGCTTGTCGACGGTCTTGGTTGCTGGGATAGTGGAGGTAGTTGTAACCGAATCCGTGTCTGGGCGCAGTGTGTAGGATGTGTCCATTACACTTGGCGCGGAGGTTGGCAGCTGGGTTGGGATCTGGCTCATCGTAACATTGATCGTGACGTTGGGCTGTAGGCGCAAAGTGTATGACGGAACGTCGAGGACGCTCATAGTTGGGACTGAGACATCTGTCGAAGTTGTTGTAGTGCCGGAGGTATCGACACCGGAAGTCGTAGCGCGAATGTCGGCAGGCAAAGCGAAGGCAGCGCCGATTGCCAGACCGGCGGCGAGGATGGTAGGCATGAATCGGACCATGTTGTCTGATGTGGAATGCGTGACTGGATGTAGTTGTTTGCTTGTTGTAGGTGGCTCTGTGTTGTAGTGGGAGTGTAGTGAAGGAAGCTTGTTCGGATGCTTGATGTCGTTGTTGTTGATGTTGTAAGAAAGAAGAAGATATGGAAGCAGAAGGAGTCCTTTTATATCGCGCTCGCAGGCTCAGTCACAAGACCGTTGGTGAATCGGATCCTGCATGTACTGCATGTGAATGTTCACTTGCATGTGAATGGTCACTTGCATGTGAATGGCACTAAGTGAACCCGCATCCCGTGCAGAAGCGTGCATGTGACAGCCTAGAAATCCTCGACGCCTGTGACAGTTGACGATATAGAAACGTTGAAGGGGTATAGAGAATCAAAAGGGAGATATTAGGAGCAGATGGTAGAGAGGGAGAGAAGTCATCTTGAGTAGGTGATGTAGCCACATACCTGTCTCCAGAAAAGAAGACCTCGAAACCTTTCCCGTACTTGTATCAAAATCCCAAAGATGAACGCCAGCTTCCAGCAAACACCACTCATCGCAACGAACAGTGGGCATTGCTTTAGTTAAACGGGATGTGCAACCGCGCCTTGCTTTGCATGCTTTTACTGATCTTGGAAGAGAATCGCATAAGGCAGAAAGCAAAAATTCCTGAATGATAGCCCAGAAGTAGCGCTCTCAACCAGACACGTCCCACTCCGACCCTTGTAGCAAGAGCTTGCTGAAGGACATCCAGAGCGTTCAGGCTTGAAGTCGACGATTGAGCGGACTGTGAAGTAGGCATGCTTGTCGAATGGTTGTCCACAATCGACATCGGCTTCGTTCTAGTCGCATCCCACTCAGAGAAGTCACTCTCGACATATGCGCTTGTCCAGGTTGTCGTTTCGTCGGCGTAGGTGTATATTTGAAGCACAGTGACAATAATTGGGTGGTAATTTCCGGGAGGTGCGGTAAGAGTCCAGATTGTTGTGAGCGTTGGACGGGTTTCTGTTACAACTGTGCTGAACGGCTTGAGAGTAGGCAGCGGCGGCGTGTAAGTTGAAAAAGTGGTGACTGTGGTCACACTTGCGTCAGGTTGGACGGTGACAATCTTGATGCAGCTTTGGGTAATGGTGTCATTGCACGCCGGCCACTCTGCATCGCAGTTTGCGACTTGGAGAAGGATCGCGAGCAGAAATGCGCAAATCGCGGCGAATCTCGCAAAAGTCTCCATTGTGTGCTTGTTGAGTGGACGATTCGCTTTGATGAGGCTGAATGTCTGATCTCGAACGGTGTTGATTCTATGCCTCGAGGCGTAATGTATACTATGCTATTGTTGGTGATGTTGCAGACTTCGATCCATAAGTTCCGATTACTGTGAAGATATCGGGTAGGGGTCCAAGCTCATAAGTGTTTGCATGTGAAGACGCGCTCGGTTATAGAAATGAAGTCAGCGACATGTATATGAAGTACAAGGCAAATCTTTTGACTGAACTTGTAATGTGAGGAACATGTTTGCCATGTTTCCAAAGTCATGCATGTCTTTCTGCACTAGATTGTGAAACGAAGAGCCTTTCCATAAAGGAAAGTTTCGTTTGGAAAAAGAGCCACAGTATGTATGGCATTGTTTGCATCACAATTTCCCTTGGTAGAATATTTGCGCGCAACCCGATCAGGAGGATTGATAATTTGATGTCGTGACCTTTGAGCCAGTTTTGAGGCCATTCTTTGAACTGATAGAAGCCATCACGTAGGAAACTGGCGATAGCGATGGAAGGACAGAAAAGGAGAGCAGAATAAAGAACGAGTTTGGTGTTGTGAGGAAAGTGATTGGCAAAAGTCGTGATTAAACACGACTTGTGGCAACGATATATTCAGACAATTGTCCTGGTTTCTTCTTTCCTTTCGTGTCGAAGGTACAAACATAGAACTGCTTCAATAGCGGCTAGTGCGGATTCCAGCTGGGAGTTCCATGCTTGTAAGAAGCCTTCACGACTTGAGTACTCGCGCTCCGTAAAAGACTTTGCCAGTTGTGTCCTTACCAAAACGCAGTCATGACCCGTCTTCCGCAGCTGTCATTTAAAACCCGAAATCCTGCTCAGCCCTGGAGCGTCTGTGTTCAACACCTGGTGCGTGGTCCCTCTGAGTCCGTCTCTCAGCATCCGTGAACGAGGTTCTCCGTACCTAGTATGGAGACCACTTCGCCGGCAGAAAGCTGCTCAGCTACTCAGGCCCTCTAAGTCTAGGTCAGAATTTGTGATATCACTCCGAATTCATACGTCACCAAGCTCAATCCAATTCATGCTCTACCTGGGGTATCATCCGTCTCATCTAACTGGATCTCGTGGCCTTCACCAAAACCGGAATCATCCCACCAGTCGGCAACTTGAACTCTCTATGCCCGAAAACTCTCAGATGGCTCGCTATCGCTCCAGAATGACTCGTCAAGCTGACAAAGGTATTGGGATTCCTCGAGAAGATATCAGTCATGAGTTCTCTCGTCCTTTCATCATGCTCCTGATGCGTCTCGCGATGGTCGGCTTTCCAGAGCAAGTCTTCTTCACTGAAGCCATCCTCGATCACGAAATCAGGGAATGCAGAAGTGATCGTTGCTTTCGTGCTTCGCTTGTCACAGGTATGTTCGCCGAGGACTTCTCGTAGGAGTTCTTTGACGACTGGCGTGAAAGGCTTATCTTCCGGTAATGTGAGATTGCCCCAAGTAAGATCGGCAGTCTGAAGACATCTGTACAGAGGACTGACATAGTAGCTTTCCGGAGGCGGCATGGCGTGAGTTGTAGTGTTAAGTTGAGCCTCGATGAAGACATGTGCATCGAGGGCTTGTTGCTTGCCGATATCCGTAAGATGTGCATCGACCCAGTACATAGTTCCATTTCCATCCAGCTTGCTCCAGTAGTCATCCCATGCTTTCGTTCCGTAGAAAGCTTCAGCTACATTGTGATAGCCCTCGCCATGCCTGCCGAAATAGAGGACTTTGTAAAAGATATCCAGAGGTCGGTTCTGATTATTTAGGTGATTAATGTAACGATGAAAGCGCCTCCACACGGGCCAATCTTTCGTCACCGTATCGTCCGTCTCAAATTCGCGTTCTATGATGCCGAAATTCTCCTTTGCGTTATCAAATTCATCTGGATTCGTGTCCGGTTCTGACTGCTTGAAGAATCCTGGAACAAATTCGAAGTGGAATTTCGCGGCCGCTTCTTGACTTCCCATAGCTGTGCTGTAGATTTTGGTTTCAAGATCTCCGGGCCTTGCGGGCGACGCGAGATAGAGGTATAAGAAAGCGCCGAAAATAAGAAGAAGAATGGGTCTGCAATTGGTAGTCAGTGAACAGCGCCTAGAATATCCAATCAGAACAACTTACGACAAGAGAGCGGATCTTCGAAGCAGCGCCTTTCTATTTCGCAGCATCACGGCGACTACTTTGCACACTCATTCTGCGATCAATTGACGGGTTTCAGTATTTTGCAGGCAAGGCAAGGCAGAGAAGTGAGGTGGCTCATGCGGGCCAAGAAAGTTTGACTTTCTCCGCCAGCCAGCCAGCCACAAATCTTGGGACGCGCAGATGGAACTCGGTACAGCAGCGTTTTCTCCGCTTCTGGCCCGAACAACCTCACATTTTACGAAGTTACAAGAGACCCGGCGGTGCCGCTCGGAATCACGAAAGCGGAATCAAAGCGCGACATTGACAACTTCCATCGCGACATCTTGACAAAATGGTTGCCGAGCATAGTTCCTCTATTCTATGCCTCAGAGATGCCAAGCGTCCATGGCCTCAGCATAGCTCGACTCCTGTTCATGTCGTGGCAGTTCACTCTGATGCCTGCAACGATTCGATGAATCTGACGCCTCAACACAAGCACAACGAACGGAAAGACAGCGGATGCAGTATTTTCCTTGCTGGTTCGCTTCCTGCCGCCGAATACGCTCAAGAGCGTCTTCAAGAGGCCACCAACGTCTGAGCATCGGCGAGTCAACTTGCCAGTCCCTCGCATCTGGATATCTCTGGCGAAAGGCTCTGACACGCTCTTGCGTCCTCGCAGCGTCTGCTCGCCGCTGAGCTTGCCACTCTGGTCTGCTTTCTGTGTCTATGAGCTCCTGCAGCCTCCTTCGATTCTTCGCATGCCAGATGTCGGCGCGATGTAGTTGCCAATTTCTCTTAGTATTGTGCAAGCTGGAAATGAAGCTTTCGTACGTCTCATGTCGATGTTGAGCTCGCTCTGGCATAGGATAATATACAGCCTCACCTTGAGTGATAGGCCCCGGATGCTGCGGAACAGCGGTAGAATATCCTTCTTTTCGCAATTCAATAATATCGTCAATCTCAACGAGGTCATAAACGCTCCCTACCCCAAAGGAAACGTCGTCTCCATCGCTCAGTCCACCTGAAGTAGACTGGGCAAATTCGCTTAAGTCTGCTTCCGATGGTGCTTGCCAAGGAGGAAGCAATGAACTCGAGGGCTCCAGTCCATATGTGATAGGTGGCGGCACTGATTCGTCGCCATCAGACGTGCTAGGACCCGACCAGGTGATCGAGCCTGTGGCTACATTAGACCTTGGCGATGGACTTCTCCTCCGAGATGTTGCTGACGAAGCTGTAAGGGACCCTTCGTTCTCAGCATCTGCGGCGTTTAAAAGGGAGCTGAGGCTGAACTCATTTCTGTTCGCGCTATTTGCAGGAAAGAATCGTGAAATGGTAGGTCTCATCGGAAATATCGGTCGACGATCTAGCCACGGCGGCCTCGGTATCCTCTGTGGGACCGACCTTGAAATTGTGGGCGCTGGCTGCGTTGACGCCGTCGCAGACAAAGGCGGCAAGGCTCTTCCAAGCCGTATGTGGCTGGCGATGTTCTCTGTATCCGCAGCTCCGCGACTGGGTCTGCGATAGTACCTGATGCATACGCCAGTTTCGCCGTCTAGCTCGTAGTCCTTGAGAATCTGAAGCAATTCAGGATGTACATCACACCTGTTCATTTCGTGAGAACAAGAATCAAATTGGGAACTGGTCTTGCCGACTCACCATCGATATAGATCTCTAGGCGAGAGCTCCAGAACAAGAAGCATTATACGTTCGCGATAGAAATCGCGCATGTCGTCTGCGCTTCCAGCTATACGGAGGCCTGCACTGCCTTGCCGTAGAAGACCATGATGGCCTACGATCTGTCTCATGCGCCGTTCGATGGCGTGAGATATCCAATACCAGGTGCCATGACTTCGGCTTCCATACGAGGGTATTCTCTGGCCATATACAATACCGACATCCATCAATTCTGGCGTTATCGCAAAATGATCAGCCACAAGATCGTGGCCTTCGTATCGATCCGGCGGAGGATACGAGCGGTCCGCACGCCATGAATTATCGATCGAGGCATCTACTGGCCGAGAGAATTGCGAGACGCTCCATCGGATCCTACGCTGCTCGGGCATCGGTTCAGATCTCGAAGCTGTTGTAGCCTGCTGCGCTGTGGAAGTATTGTTCCAAGTTCCTGCTGGTCGATATTTATGCCAGAGAGCCGAGAGGCATGACTAGTCAGAATGCGCCGGTTGGATTTCTAGCACGACAATGATGATATCTTCACTGTTGAAAACTACGTTCAATCCATTTCTACCAGCGTTGTACGCTGTGCGTGGGTAAGCTCGAAGGTGTGGAGTCATTCAATACCGTCAGACTTGTTTGCCTGTACAAACTTGCTGGTGGAGCCGTTCTTTGACGCTCGAACCTTGGTCCTGGAACTCTTTGGTAAAATCCTCCACTGTCTTCCTGCCCAACAGGTGGAGGTGTTCGAAGCTTGTCTCTCCACCAATGCCAACTCAAATTGATGCCGCCGAAAGTGTCTTGCAGTAATGAGCGAATATCAAGGTAGGCATGTGTGTAACATCGCTGAACCGCAGGTCCACCGTGTGATTTCTGAAGTGATGATCTCACCCTGAGGTATCGTGAGTGACTTCCGTCTCCTGATGCTACGAGTTCTTCCTTGCTTGGGCATCCAGCTCCTTGAGCTTCTCGATCAATTTCTCGCGGAGGTAGCTGCTCAGTCCAAGAACACCTTCGCGCGTAGCAATACGATAGGTACCGCTCCGCTGATATCGCCCTGTACCATCCACGAAGTTGCCTGAACCGTCAATCTCCAGACTGCCAAATATATCCTCAGGCCAAGCTACCCTGCCGAAATCAGGCGGGTTGCGTTGGTCACTGACGTGAATATATCCTCCGCGGCCTGCTCCTCCCATTCCTCCCTGTGCGCTTGCCCCACCCGCACCATCCCCACCAGTTCCGCCCCCGCCTGCGTATTGTTTTGTACTGCTCTGCCGTCTGGTACGTTGTCGTTGCTGCGATGGATGGTTTCCTGGAAAGAACATGCCGCCAGAACCTAACGAGGAACCTGCTTGAGACGCGTACATGGCTGCTTGTGCTTGAACCTCAGGGTCTTTCATAGCGTTCTCTGCGATCACATGGTGTAGGATGTCTAAGAGTTCACGATTTCCATGCAGCTTTTCGGGGTGTGCGGTGGGTGGAATTTCGCTGGTCGTGCCAATGGCCAACGATGCGATTGGCGGCTCGTTTGGAAGGAATGATAGTAAGTATTGCTTCGAAGGAGAGTTTGGCACATCGTGCACGTACTGCAGTAAACCAATGTCAACAAATATCGATGGATCACGTTGATATGCTTACGATGTGCTCATTTTCTGGGAGGGTTGAGAGAGCTTTCCGCAGCGTAGCTGGCGATGTGCGGGCAGCTAGGCGCAAGGCTTGGAAACCCAGAGCTGGACGTGATGCCGTGAGTATCGTAGCCATTGTGACTTTACTCGATTCTTCAATGTGCTCAGAGCGAAGGTTAAGATGATGAACCAATGAATCAACTCTTCCTCTGAACGAGCTCTGACCCTGCAAAGAAACGGACTCGGCTCCGCTGGACTGGGATGCCGACCACCACCTTCACCACTACATACACGACACTCCAACAGAAAGGGACATAGCATCCAAGCGCTAGATTCGAACCTTAGGCAGAGACTTTTACACATCGTGCAGCCGATGTGCACGACGACATGAACCGCATCTGTGGCCATCCGGCTCAGCTCCAACCAGTCGCTCCTCAAACGCGTCGGCGACCAGTCCGCCCTATCTGAACACTCTTGGCCCGCCTGATGACTGCACTGTGTCCCGGTCGATGACGGAACAGTGTTGTCTGTGAAGGAGCGAATGCATCTGGGCTTTAGTGGCTCCTGCTGTGGTTCTTGCAGACGCAGATGTCAACATCCGCAGAGTGGATGAGAAGAGTCTGCTGATGTTCGCGGGCACGTTTAGACTCCAAGCATAACTGCAAAATCACGATGAATATGGTCCGCACGAGCATTTCGAGGGCTCCAAGAGCCAAGATACTTTGAAGCCAGCTGCGGGTTACGGACGTCTCTCAGCCTCAATGCTTTGATATTTGCTGGAGCTATATTGAATCAAACTGGTGAGGGTGAACCTCCGGCCCTCGAGGAAGCAATGAGTTCCGGACGCGAAAAGCCACTTACTGATTGGCGACACCTTGATTAAGGAAAGTTCCTTCGACAGAAGTTCAGGACGACTGCAGTCATTATTGCCCTAGCATCACTGTTATCCCCTGTAGCTTCGGGTCACAACAGCGAGGTGGCGATAGGTTTTGCGTGTTAAATCAAAAGATTTCGCATCCGTGAGCCAGAATCGCCAGAGTATTTCGAGGTCGTTATCATGGGACGTGTGCTCCTCAACCGCATTCGGCGCCGCCACAAGATGGTAGGTGACAAGAGCACATAAGTTCCTACACGTGTCAGTACCGCAATAACTCCTCTGCAGTTGATGTGAGAAGTGAAAAGCAAAAGACCTTTTCGGGCGACAGTCAAAGCTACAAGCCAAAAACTGCAAAACGATAATCGAGAAGGCACGATTAGAACGTGCGTACAGAACACCTGGCTATCCAAAGTTGGACCAATGATCCGCCCGCCTCCAGTTCCGGGCTTATCGGTCAAGGAGCTATCTCAGACGAATTCTGGGTTGCTTGATTTCGGCTTTGTGTGTCACTCGGCAAGCCGAACCATGGATAGATACAATGGCTACAAAGTTACTGCTCCGGTCTTGGCGTATAGCACCATGGCCATGCCGATATTCGGATCCAAGAGCAACATGTACATTGCCGGAGTGCCTACTTGATCGGTTCAGCTATCTGGGTTAGGTTATCAGACAACGTCGATACCAGAGAGGAGTGCGATACCAACTGCTCAGAAGCTCGCTCATCGGCCTTGTCCGCAACGTTCTGGCTTGACTGCGAAGGATTATCATGGCGTTCGAAGACATGGACCGCGAGACGAAAACGCCGACTGACCTTCAGACACATGGATTCCTCTATGACTTCGACAAAGTTGCCAGATCTCTGATATTCTCACACTCTTTCTTGCCCGATTTCAGTGGCTCAGGACATGGCCAGGAGATCAACTTGCCTGTTCCTCCCAATGGGAATCATTCGGAGATGAAAAAGAGGGACATCACGAACAGAAGGTCCACTGCAGTTGTACTATATGAGACACCTGCATATGCCGCCGAGAGAACAGTACACTCGGTGTTTATCCCAGTCATCGTATGTGGTTGGCGATGCATTACGGAAGACTTCGAAAACGTCTGCCAAAGAGTCCATCATGAGCTCCAATTGTGCTATCTCTACAGTGTCCTCGAACCACAAAGTGCCCTCGACATTCGTAAGGAAATATTGCAGGCATTCTGGCACATCGAGCGACATTATGGCGGAGATACGTGGCGTGGCAAGGTTCAGACCCCGGACAACGAGACATACTCCGCAGTGGCATTTGACATGAGCTTCTTCAATCGAGAGGAGCATGTTCTTGATCCAAATCTTCCTTATGGACCGGCCTGGGAGTGTCATATGGGTGCTAGATCTCGCGATTCGCAAGAGTGGTCAGAAATTGGGCGCTATCAGGCCAAGTGGAACGCCAAGACAGATAAGCTGGATTGCAAAATGGTAGAGAATCCTGCCTTCCAAGTTGTGCCTCAGAAAGACAGCTGCTACCTGGTCGCTGAAGCGCTGGAAGAACTCCGGGGGATGGACGAAGAGGGAGAGGAGCTGGTACCTCTGCTGCGTAGGTTCTCCTTGCAGAGTCTGGAATGGTGTCAGCCCCGGTATAGAACGCAATGGGAGATTCTCGAGAATGTGCTGATCTCCTTCTGTGGCGGCAATCCGAAGACTGCAGAGTGGCTCCGAGATGATGCCAGAAAGAAGAAAGCAGAGAAAGCAAGAAATAGGGAAGTTGGTAGCGCTCTTGCGGAGGAACTGGAGTAGCTCTCTGCTCGATGCAACGAGGCTCTGCCTGTACAAGCCATCTGGTGCTCGCGTTGGCTTCATTTCGGGCGGGTTATGCGTGACAGCTGCCGAATGGGTTGTTGAGCTGTGGAAGTGATGGCGAGGGAGGCTGTCATCTGCCTCAAATATGCCTTTGCTGTCGCTTTCAACTGGAAGCATCACGGCCTCAGCGCGTCGGAAAAAAGGTCACTGCCGGTGATGAAGGGATGCTGCTGCAACGCCGTTGCCTCGCCTCGCGTGAAAGCGTCACTGGTCTGAGCTCTGCACCTTCCGCACAGGCTTTGTTGACGCGACTTTCTTTAAAAGCTCTCCGACCTTCTGCGACTCTTCGACTCACACAATTCGCTCAACATCAACCTGTCACAAGCCATGGCGACTGAGCGCGTGTCCGCTGTTCGCATCGCCTGTCAGGGCGAGGCTCCTGATGCTATCAAGGAGTACCAGATTTACTCTATTCTGCCGACTCACGACATCTTCAAGCAAGGCGAGATCAGCCCGCTCTCCCAGCTCGTCGGCTGTCCCATCCTGGTGATGAAGCTGCGCCCATCGCTGCTGGTCCCCAGACCAGTGAAGAAGGACGCCCTGATCAAGCCAGGCCGCCAATACAGCAACAAGGCCGAGGATCGCTTCTTCGAGAACCCTGTTGCGTCCATGCTGATGGCTGAAATGCCTTCTCTGCATACTCCTACAGCGTGGAACGCGCGTGTCGGCAGTGTGCTCATGGCTCGAGTCGATAAGCAGCCTTTGCACCCTCTGCACCTTACCATCCTCATCGCGTTCAACCAAGCTGCCAAGTCGCAAAGCGACCTGTCTCAGACGCCCTTCGAGCAATTGCTCATCCCGGAGTACTTCCAGCAGTACTACCCATTCGCCGTCGACCACATCAAGAAGGACCCAAGCTGCCCAGCAGATGTTGACAAGGTGCTGCCACTCTACGAGCAGGAGAACCGTTCCCAGACTACGGATGTGGAGGGTGGCGGTGTTCCAGTTTGAGGAATCACTGTGCATATAGTGCCCCGTGTCCGAGGTGACGCTTCACCACTTCAAGAGCTTGTACGGAAATGAGCAGCAGAGCCGTTGGAACCTGTGGGAGAACTGAGCTTGAGGTGAACTGGGAGATTTGAGGTAAGGTAAGGCTTTGCTTGAGAATCACAACTAGAATATGGCAATGGCTCCCGGCGGGCTACCAACGCCGCCTCTAATATCTAGAGGTGCTGAAGTCAAGAAAAACGTCCACCGACCCTCCTTCTCACACATTCTGCTCAACTCCTCCAGATTCCACAATTCCCCAATAGGCGTGCCCCACTGCACCAAAAGCCATTCATGCAATGTCCATCCACTCTCAAACGGCGGCGGCCAAGCCTCAAAAGCAATAGTATCGCCGGCCACAGCAGCAAAATGACGATCATACAACCACCTAACACTCGTCTCGTTATTCTCAACCCCAATCGCCAAAGCATTCTCCTGCGTCCCCTTCTTCCTCTCCGCCGGTCCAGCATAATCATGCCACTTCGTATACCCACTCCTTACAAGCAAAACATCACCCACTCTCGTCATCGTCCCCTGCCACCTCAACGCCTCCTCCAACTCCGAAACCGGAATCTCATGTCTACTCACCGCAGAAGGCGGATCTCCATGTTTCGCTTCATACCATCTCAACCAATCCACCAAAACCCCTCGCCCCACAATCCCCCCATTCTCACACCACTTATGAATCCCATTCCGATCCGAACGCAAAGCCTCGTCGTGCGAAAGCCCGTTGTAATATATCCCAGTCTTCTGATGAGCGAAGTGTTTGAAAGAGTCCCATTGCGAGCCGGATTGCGTGTTCATATGAATCTCATCATCGAAACCGGAGATTTTCCCTTTGGTCGTGACGCGAGCGTCGATGACTTTCTGTTCGAGTTTCTTTCTTCCGAACCCGGGGAATTCGACGTTGTCGGAGAGGTTCCAGTCGAGTTGGATGTGTTGGCCTGTTTTTATTTCTTTGGAGGCGTGTTGGATTACTTCGGGGGTTAGGAGGTTGAGGGTGCCGAGTTCGTCTTTTTGCCCGGTTTTGTCGAAGAGGCCCCAGCAGCAGCCTTGCGGTTGGCCTTGGATGGAGGGGAGTTTGTCGAAGGGTGGGAAGGTGAAGTGTGGTTGGCCTGCGATTGCGTCTGAGACGGCTGAGAGGCGTTCTTGCGCTGTTTCTAGGAGGCTTCTTTGCTTGCCTTGGGACATGGTGTTGGATTATGACTATGCAAGTCAGGAACGTGATGGAAAAATGGGCGACTCTTTCTTTTAATCATAGAGGCGGGTGTCGTGCTTCCCTGGTCATGATGTCGGCTAACTGCCTGAGCGGGGTGGAAACTGGTGGATCTACTTCACCTCGGCTCCTTCAGGTTAGTGTAGTATCATGAGCTGATGCACTGGCTTGCCAGGAGACCTGGAAATTGATCTTATTGTTGGGGACAACCTCCAAGCGCACCCTTCCAATGGGCACATCATCTTGTGATGGCTCTGAACTTGGACCCGGAGTGAGACTCCATGTCGCACTGAGGACAATCAGGATTTTATCTCTTACACTCGATTCTGCTTCTTCTATAATATAATTTCGATTTGGCTGTACTGATTCTGATACAATTGCTCTCGTGATCGACTGGGTGGACTAAGTATCGTTGTCGCTTTGCTATAGTTCCACATTTTTGCTTCAGGTGAGTGCTACATTGTCAGCGGACAATGCATTTATTCTTCTTCTCTAAGACAGACCTTTCCTCAGGGAAGATGGAAACCGAGAAGAAGCAGAAGTGCTTCCGCTTCTTTAACTTACCAGGCGAATCACGCAACCTCATCTACTCATATGCCTGTGTTGCAGAGCCTAGACACGTTCACCCTCTGTGCGCAAATCATGGATCCTCGGAGTGCCAACCGTGTAGGGACGAAGGAAGGCAAGAACTAGTTAGACTAAAATACCGGCCATTTGTCACAACTTCGAAGAGTCTAAGTTGGGTCGTGAGGCTTTGTCGATCTTCTTCACCGAGAACAAATTCAGCCTCAACGTGTACAGCAATTTTTCAGACGGCCATGCGAGCCGCTTAGGTATTCCCAGCAGCAAATCTTACGAAGGCGGCTCGAAAATATCTGGAAGATTGAGAATGGGTAAGTCATATGTCTTGAACGCCATGAGGCACGCCGTGATCCGCGATATCTCTATCAATGTCCGTGAGGCGGAGCATCATTGGAACAAGAACCATAAGGAATATCGGAAATGGTCGGTGAAAGTTACGTTGTTATGGCTCAAATTCGATGGGAAGACCTGCTCCGTTAGGACAGAAGAAAAGAAGCATCGATCCGTCCCTTGGATTGACTCAGAGCTCTGCGAGGATGAGCTCGCCGTTGCAATCAGAGGGTGCATGGCCGCGGCAGAAAGAGTGGCAGCCAGAGCAGGTTTCGTCGGATTCACTGTCGAAGATTTGAAGGTGATTGTTGCAACACTTCGGTTCCCTGTTCTGCCTCCTCAGCCGGCCCAGCGTGGTTGGGGTTGGGATGACGCTTGAGAAGCACGGGGATTGCACAGAGCATGAGCCAGCGGTGCCGTACGAGCCGAGTTCAGAGGGTGTTTGCAGAAGGAGCAGCGGTATGAGAAGGCAGATAGTCTGAATGCAGGGACAGAAATGTTGTGTTATCGCATGCTTCAAGTTTTCATGCCTGGGATAGATTCTCTGGCTGCGCCTACCCCTGACAGGCCACTTTGCCTCATCATTGTGCCATTTGAGCCCATTCCATTCCAGTTCGTTCTGAATTTGGCCGCTTTAGACCATATCGTTGGTACATTGAGTGCGTCGTTTGCTCGTACGATATTTTCAAGGGACTTGCGAGCATACGGGCGGCGGACTTGGTGGTCCTGTCTACGCGACTGCGCATGCGATGATCGACTTCGATGCGAATGCTCAAGGGATATCCTTGATGTCACCCGCGTCAAATTCGACGATTTTGCAAGGCTCGTTTTAAGTCGGATTGTCTCACTTGCCCTTCAGCAGCTTCTTGCCATGATTCCTGACCACCTGATCAAGCAACTGCCGCACTTGCTTGCAGCCGTCAAGACCGACGGTGACCATAGCTTCCATACGAGCCACTTGCACTCTTGTCTCCATGATAAGGACGTTGATCTTGTCCTCGCCTCCGCTAGTTCCAATAGTCAGGAAGGGTAATTCGAGCTCCTCCATCCCATTCAGATCAAGAAGCGGGTCTGCTTCTTCGTCATTCGAAGCGTATGAAGCCGTCGAGCCTGTTGTACATGCAGCAACATAGTCTTTCATGGGAATCCCAGCATCGATGAGGGCAAGCGTAGCTGCATTCAAACAAGCGGCAAGCAGCGCTCCATCTTGTGACAGCACATGCAGCATAATGCTTATGGTGGATTGTGGATAGAGAGAAGTAAGAATCGTGCTCGCGAAAGCAGATGATATTGTGTACTGCATCTCCTGTGTGCGCCTACCTGACATCAGCTTCTTGCCCTGCTCCTACACAGCGCGCCTCCGACTCACTTGTCTGTTCGACTTCTCTTCTTGCGGTCCATGCCACTGAATCCAGCAATGCCAATTTCCACTTCGATGCTCGCGCTCCTACTCTGGTCTCTTCCGCCACCTCTTGTCTGCTGTCTGGGTCCAAGAACGGTGCATATGATCTTGGTATTGCCCATCTCGAAATAGCTGCTGCCATCTGCAGCGGCTTGAGTGGACATCTGGCCATGAATACGCCTGAGCTCGTTCCATCGTCGCCCATCCACGCGCAGATGCGCCAAGGCGTACGTCGAGCTGTCCAGAGGCATTATGGAAGGCGTCGATGTTATCGATTCATGTCTTTACGTACAAATGTTTTCGCGAAAGTGAGGTATGCAACCAGGGTCTTCAGCACAGACCTCTCCCAGCAGGACCGTTGCAAACTCTCGGAGAAGCCAACATCACTTCACCTCGATTACAGGTCACGCGAACGCACTTCGACAGCAATAGCCATACTAAGACATAGTCTCGTTAGCCAGCATGCTGTGTCGCCATGTATTGCGCAACAGCAACAAGTCCTGCCGGCTTGCATAGCATTTCGTCCGCTTTCGCCCGACGCCTTACGACACGCAAACTGCTTAATTATTCTCGGCGTGAAGTCCTTACATCTACAAGGGCAGAAAGTCCTGCTGCTTTTGCTGACGAACACGAAGAGTACTAACGGCTTACGAGTCTGACGTCCGATGTGCTTCACAGCCTTTCTCCGCGGCATACAGGCATTTTGAACAGACTCATTTCATATATAAAATTCCAGCAGTAAGTGCCAATGATGGCGTATCAAGTGCACAAAAGATCAGCATCAATTCAGTATGCGTCCTCTTACTCCAGAACAAGTCAAAATCATTAAGGCTTTCGTGCCTATCTTAAAGGAACATGGCGATACTGTTACATCTCTTTTCTACAAGACGCTCCACGAGGAATATCCCTTTCTACATAATGTCTTCAACCAGACGAACCAAGCCAACAATCATCAAGCGAAGGCTTTAGCAGCATCCCTATACGCATATGCCTCTCATATCGACGACCTCGGAGCTTTGAGTCCTGCAGTGGAGAAGATCTGCCACAAACACGCTTCGCTGTATATCAGACCCGAGCACTACAAACTAGTTGGCGAAGGCCTCATTCGAGCAATGGGCAGCATTCTTGGCGAAACTTTCACCCCTGAGATCAAAGACGCCTGGGAAGCCGCATACTGGCAGCTTGCGAACATCCTCATCGGACGCGAGAACCAACTCTACCAGGCTTCCCAAGGCTGGACAGATTGGCGCGACTTCACCATCTCAGACAAAGTCAGAGAAAGCGAAGAAATCACTTCCCTCTACCTTAAACCCGTCGACGGCGAAACCCTTCCCGAATACCTCCCGGGCCAATACATCTCCCTCCTCAGCCACGTCCCTACACTCGGCTACACGCAAAGCAGACAATACACCCTCTCCTCCGCCCCTCGAACCAATCAATACCGAATCTCCGTAAAACGCGAAGCAGGCCTCACTCCAGGCTGCATTTCGAATCTCCTGCACTCGGACACGAACATCGGAGATATCATCAAACTCTCCCATCCAGCAGGCGACTTCTTCTACGACCCTCAAAACGACACCGAGGCCCCACTCGTTTTGTTATCCGCTGGTGTAGGAATCACACCTATGGTCAGTATTCTAAATTCTGTGGTGGAACGCGGTTCGAAACAACCGATTTCTTTCATTCACGGCGCGAGGAATTCTTCGGTGCGAGGTTTCGCTTCCCAGATTCGGAATTTCGCGGTGGAGAATGAGAATGTTCAAGTGACTTTCTTTTTGAAGAGTCTTGAGGAGGGGGATGTGGTTGGTTGGGATTATACGCATGTTGGGCGATTGACAGTGCCGGAACTTGTTCGTACGCGGAAGAGGGATTTGTGGCTTGAGGATGAGAGGACGATGTATTTTGTTTGTGGGCCGGAGGGGTTTATGGCTGATGTGGCGCGGGAGTTGAAGGGACTTGGTGTTGACAATAGCAGGATTAGGCTCGAGGTTTTTGGGACAGGGGAGATTCCGACTGAGGTTGAAGCTAATGGGGTTGCGCACTGAAATGGTGATTGAGCTTTTGGCTTAGCACGTCCTGTAGATCCGAGCACACTGGTCTTCGGGAAGGGCGGGTGGGGTAAGGAATTGTGTTCAGCACTTGGCATAGATGGCTTCACCACTCCATGTATTGTAGAAAGGGTCTGATCTTTGACGAAGGGCTTTGAGGAAAGGCTTTGAATGACACTGCTGAGCATAGGTTTGTGACCGGCGGTTCCGTTTAGCGCTCCAGTCACCTTGCTGCTATCAAAGCTCTGTACTCATCACCTTGCCCTTTCGCCTTGCGAAACCACAATGACCTGCCGTGCGGCCACGGTGTGCAAAAGATTTTGCCATCATATCACGTCCGCAAGACTGTCAGGAGCACCACCCAAACATCTGAACGCAGTCACCCAATCATAACACGACGTATCTCATGCCCACGACGACTTGGTTCTCCTCAAAGAAACCAGGTCGGACCTTCGATACGTGTCGCTGACACGCAGGGTTGGCATCGTAGGTCACCGTGCTTCCACGACAGGCGTCCGGCACTATGAAAGTATCGCCATTGCTCTGCTCTCTGACATCGCTCCCGGGCTCGACAGAATCTCGTGGATGGTTCGGCGCTGCTTGCTCGACTGTGCTAGAGGACGAGCCTTCTCTGATCACAGGCGGCTTGTGAGGTGAAAGGCGAGCGATGGACCCCATCAGATGACCGCCTGGATCTGCGCCTTGATCAACGACCATGTCCGCTCTTTCCTGAGCAAGCTCTGCTACTGAGTCGCTCGATATAGTGGAATCTTGTGGGTGGGATAGTTGATTTGGAGCATGGTCCAGCTTGCTCTTCTTTCTTGGCGGCTGTTGCGCGGTATCTCCCTCATTTCCACTAGGAGCTTTCCGAGTCTTGGACTTCCTATTGTCCATTCTAGTCGGCCGATTGATGTAGCCTCTATTAGGTGCATACTTGTAGCCTCTTCCTGTAGTGACCAGGACATCAATCACTCCCAGCTGCTCGGCTCCTTCTAGCCGGTGAGGAATGGGAACGGCAGCAAGTGCGTCCAGGTATGATCCCGTGGGAGTATCACTTCGAGCGGAGGCCTCAGTGGCGAGCGAAGAGGAGATCGACTTCCAGCGAGCGTTGACCTCCCCGCCGTCTTCAGAAGTTGGCCGTGGTCCTGGATGCTTAGGTGACATCGATGCTGTAGCTGTGGGTAGGTGCGCGGATGCATCATACACCCATGGCTTCTCGACCTGAGTGTCGATCCTAGTACCGTGGAAATATCGTTCGTTCGACATTGACACTCGTTTTGTGTTGATGAATTCGGAGTTTGCAAGGTCGCCATTGACGAAGACCTCGATTTTGAGGTCGATTTCGATGGACTTTGGCTTCTCACTTCCAGTATAAACGTGAGCGGCCGGCAGGGTCTTGACAGCCAGGCGAAGCGCCTGCTTGCTTGGAAATGTTCGATAAAAGGCGGACAGGGGGGAAACTGGCTCAATGGAGGGAGCTGGATGCGCGTGGGAATGAGCTAGATAGCGCTGTGCATTCGCTGGGCTGGGCGTGGGAGTTGGGCCAAGAGATGTCAATGCAGAGTCGATGCTTGATCTGGGGGAGTGTCAGTGAGTGGCTCGGCCTACAAGAAATGACTGCTGTTGCCGTGGAATGGCCGACTTACAACGAGCTATCCAAGTCTGGCACTGATACCGGAGGCCAATCTCGCCTCAAATGGTCGCCAGCCTCGACCATCATCAATGGCATGTCCTCATGCTCGCCGATGTAGCGCAGCACGCCTCTCGAGCCTCCATCGACGCCAATCGGTTTCTCATCCAATGTTCTACCAGTTCGGAGAGCCGACGCGACGCGCGCTGCCTCTTTTGCACTGGGCAAAATTGGATCTGCGATGGAGTCGCTCAATTCGCACGAGAAGAGGGTGGCAGACACGCCTGCAGACTTGAAGGTGGGCATCGTTGGTGTGCTGCAGGAACGCGCAGCCAATGTGTCCGCCTCGAGTCGAATGTCTAAGACTTTGTACGGCTTCCTGCATGTGAACGTTGCTGTGGCAGACCGCGCGTTTGCAGCTTCCCGGTGCGGATCAACCGTTTGCGCATGCAACAGGGAAAGAGCGCTTCAACCCCTCCCAGGGAGATGGCGAGGCTGTGGTTCAAGCTCGATCTTGGCCTGCGCTTCACTAGTTGGAACGACGGAGTTCTTCACAACGCGCGAAGTGCTGCTTGAACGGAACTTGGCCGTTTCATCGATCAGTTCTTCACATCCCTCACGCAACCGTAACTTCATATGCTGCCATCACGCTCTCATCTCCGACCTTCTGTAATGATTCCCAGAGACGGCTCTTCCAAACTGTCTCCAAGCTCCTGGATCGTTCTGTCGTAGACCCTAGCAATGCTCATATCAAGAGTATCATCGTCCTCAGCATCACCATCTCCCTCCAGCACCAAGCCACCCTCCACATCAGTATCCACGTCCATCTTGTCATCATCTTCTGGCTCCGACTCTGCTTCCTCATGCTCAAATTCTCCTTTCTTGAACGCCTCAACCACATTGATCCTCGTCCTTTCCACTAAGCTCCTAATCCTCACCTTCTCTGTGCCACTCACGCCCCTCGACCCTACAAAGCCTGGAAGACGCTCTCCAGAGTCCACGTCTCTCCCTTGAAGCAAGCTTGCAAAAGCATGATCCAGCTTCTCGATCAACCGAAAGAGAGGTTTCGGCGTAGGAGGCATAGCCTGCACGACATTCCCAAGCAGAAGTGCCAAGCTGATCAGATATGGTACCTGCAAGCTCGGTGTCCCGCTCACCCAGATCACATCAATCAATTGTTCCATGTCTTTGCATGCCTCTTTCATTGAGCCGTACCCCTTCACATCACCCCATGAATCTGCTTTCTCGCGGTCTACATTTGACAGATGCGCGGACTCAGGCGATGTGCGTTTCGCGAACCGGCGCTGGATGTGGAGGATCTGCTGGTCGACGTAGCGGATGAAGGCACTCTCTTTGCTTCCCCCGGGCTTCAAGGGAGCTTCACGTGGATGAGGGAGTGTCGGGTGGGCATTCGAGGATACTGTTGATGAGGCTGGTGGTGAGAGCATGAATCCTCCGGGAGCTTGGTATGCCATGATGATGGATCAGATGAGATGGTGAAGAACACTGTGTGACCTCTACTTATCTGAGGGGGTATGACACAAGTTACGACATTGCGAGCAGTTCATACTGCACAGAGGAAGTGGAAGCTGCGAGGTGACTTGTGGCGTTGAAGTTCAGGTCGGTGTGAGTGCAGATTGAAGCGTCACTGCACGTGGGATCTGCTCACTTTGATGAGGAATTCATTCGAAATTTCATTAATAATTCTTAAGCACTCTCAAAGCATCCATCCATCATTGCGCCGTTCTCTTCGTTCATGCTCGCATATTGAGTATCTCGGCACATCTAGAAAAGTAGCGATTGAAGCATTTCGTCAAGCAGCGTCAGAGCCTGACGACGCAGATTTAGGCAATCCATTTCTGGGCGGCCTTGTCGTAACCGATCACCTTCAGATCGATGTTCAAGGACCGCAGCATCATGTCCATTGTAAAAGACTGGACGTGATTAGCATAATCGACAAGCAATTCAAGGTGTGTGAAACTCACGTCGTCTTCAGCACTGCTCTCCTCCTGCCATATTTGCACCTTACCGCCACTGATATCGGCTTCGGGTTGATCAGGCTCCTCTGCCGCATCCATTGCCTCCTGCTTAGCCTGCCTCTTCATCTTTTTGCGATACTCCTGCTCTTCCTCTGGCAACTCTTCCCCTTGAGAGTCAAATTCACAATCAGCATCGTCCTCGGCCTCCTCCTCTTGCGCGAATTCACCGAGTCCGTGTACTCGCTCGTACTTGCGCTTCTCCATTTCGCGCCAAGCTGCAACGCCTCCCATCCTCTGCACACGTTCCTTAACCGTGCCGAAGAGCTCTTCTGCTACAGCCTGAGAGCAATGTCGCCACTTCTCAGCCAAGGCTTCGAGTTCGGCGTCAGTAGAGGAGTTGGCGAGCTGCTCGGCTTGCTTGAGTATGTCCAGCTCTTTCTGGATATCGCGGATTTGTATTTCGACGGCGTGGACAGCTTTCCATGCTGCCTGCTCTTCCGCACTTTCCTTCTTCTTGCCAGCCGACCATGTAGATGACGGCTGCTTGCGCAATGGTGTAGCTCCGCCTTGCGTCGATGCTGGATTCGCTAGCTTTGGTACCGCCATGGAGTATGCAGGCTTCACGGTATGAGCAAGAGTGCTTGGAATGTATTGTTGAGCGCCGACATTTGTCTTGCCCAAACCATCTCTCACGCGGCCACTACCAGCCTGCTCTGGCTTGGTCGAGCGCATAGGCGAGACAAAGGGCTTCTTGAGCTTGGCGTTAGCATCGTTGAGCTTGCGCCGCTTGATTGATAGTGGCGATGACATCGTGGCGGCGCATATTTGTATCTGTGATTCTGCAAGACGCGTGGTGGACGACGCGTTTGGGAGAGAGCCTCGGTTGATCCTTGATCCTGGTCTGAGCTTCTCCTGCTGAGCATACATTATCACAACTCTCTTCTCTAAACAACAACTTCGAGTTGCTCTGATCCAGCCCATCACGTTCGACATTTTCATGGTGAAGCCGCTAATATCATGCAGAAAGAGAGGGCATCGACCAAATCATCGACATCTCGCCTGCGCCGGAATCATGTAACATCAAGTGGCCTCACCAGAACATCCGAGTACCGCCTCATCGGGCTGCTGTACAGAGTCTACGAGCCATTGCAACTATTTCGAAGGCCTCTCCACCAAGTCAAGGCACTCGAATCGCATCGCTAAATGGTGACGCTTCACGAAACCCACACGCAAAGTACATGTAAGCCAGCTTAGCGACACCACGTCCATGGCCATGATGCAGCAGCGCCTTCTCCAGCAGTTCTAGACACACGTGCCTTCTGTCTTGCACACACTGCACTTGCTACCCATCTGGCGCACTCTTACTCTGCCATCTGTAGCCATTCCGCGGCCGATGTGAGTATGCGAGTTCCCTTTCTCATCGATCGCCCTGCATTCTCACAGCATAGCCACAGCGATGGCATTCGTCTTGCATCTGCCTTCTAACAGTCCCTTGGCTGGTCTGCTTGACAGCGAGCCTCGAGTCAGATCGTCCTGTTCCACCGCGAGCATCAGATCGAGTGGCACAGTCCAACACAGCCGCCTACGCAGCTTCTCGTCCAGCTCGTTCTCGTCGGCTGGATCTAACTTTCTACCGCTGGCACTGAGACGACGTAACATCAGCTCCGAGGACTCCTCTAACACCGTCACATCCGCGTCGACTATCAATGTCGGTCACCGGGCGATACGCAATCCATTCGATCGTCGGAGCACGTCTGTTGCCAACTCTCGCCGCACCAGTCTAGCATCAGCCTGCAATGCTCAACAGTGCTCGGATCCAGTACTGCGTGCGAGCCCAGAGCCCATATCGTCCGACTCGGTGGCCAGGCTGGACAACGAACCCTCCAGAGGCTTGCTACCTTCGCCTTCATCTGGTAGCAATTTGGATGAAGATGAAGCACTGATTGATGGAGACACCGCTCTGCAACACGAGGAGGCATTTTCTAATGGAACTGAAGCCCAAAAGGTGTCGCAGGCGGCCAATCATGCTACCAAGACGCCTGCTTTCAGCAAATGGGTTTCCAAGCTGAGAAAGCGAAGGCAATGGCCGGTTCCTTGGACATCCCCTCGCAAGGAGAGATGGATTTTGGATGATTTCGACAAGCAGTCTTCGTCTCCATCGAAGCCGAAGCGGCATTCTGCGCATCGCAAGTCAGACTCTCAGAACTCTTCGCTGAGATTTATCACTTCTGTGCGCTCGGCAACAGCAACTGTAGCCAGCGCCAGTATCGCGACCATCTCTCGGCAGTGGCGACGCGGTCATCAAAGGAGCAGTCTTCTCTCAGGCTCCGACCCTCGGCCGTCTGTCGATAGTGTACGCTCTGTCATGGACGAGGCTGCAAGACAGAGAGCGAGGAAAAGGCGAGAAAAGCTGGAAGAGCTCATCCGGACAGAAGAGAGCTATGTGGCAGACGTGAAGGCATTGTCTAACGTTTGTGTTGACGATGTCACGCCATGAGAACTGTGCTGATGCAGTGCTTGGTAGGCATACTGTACCGTCTTGCCTCTGCAGCATACGACAACCAGCTTCACTCGTGCCATCACACAAAGAGTCATAGCCGATATACTGCAGCTGCACGACGACATGCTTGGCCGACTGCACCATGAAGTACCATTCGCGGAATACGATAGAACCATGGCGATGGAGTCGAGTGTTCCACAGCACACATCAAAAAACCACTATCGCTGGCAGAGTGTCGATGGCATTCCATCACACTTCACGCCTAAGCGCGCAGTCCTCGCCACTATTCGTCAAGGTCGACGGTCTCTCAATATCAGTAGATCCGATGATCACGAGGAAACTGTCTTACGCTGCAGCCCGCAGACCATCGGTGCCGTTGCAGAGATCTTCGCGAACCATGTACCCACCTCTTTGCTTGTTTGATTTGAGAAAATGCTAAACGTGCTCGCTATAGCTGCACCGCTTCGCCGTATATGAAGAATATGGCGCAAACTACGAAATAGTTCAAAGAGATGTGGAAGACAGCCAGCGCAACGTTTCCAACTGGTTCGAGTACGACAAAGCCATCGAGGCCATCTCGGCGCATATCAACCCACTACGTAGTCGAGAAGCAAACCAGAGGAAGGCTATGACTGTCAAGGACCTATTGATCAAGGTTTGTTCAGAGCGCTGCCTCATCTTTCCCAGACTGATAGCTTCTCCAGCCAATTCAGCGGATCCCTCGATACGAACTGCTCTTTGCGGATCTTGCAAACCTGACGCCGGTTTGCGACGATCCGAATGCCCACGCCACGATCGAAGACCTACGCGTCCGTCTGGGAGAAGTATGTCAGCAAGTCAACGCTGCTAAAAAGACACCTCCAACCAGAGTCCGAGCGAAGGCGACCACGTGGTTGATCGGAGAACGTCTCGCCTTCTCGAGCCAAATACCAAGGTCAATGTTTCTGAAATTGCTCGGACCGGTTTCACTTTGCGGCTGCCTCTACATCGCGTACCGTAGTCGGGAGCGGATCAAAGGTCGCTACGTAATCTGCATTTTGTTCGACACGCATCTCGTCCTTGCTTCAGCGGATGATGACCATCCGACTTACCATATGTTGGCCTGCATTATGCTAGCGCACGCCACGTTGGAAGAGACTGATAATCAAAAAGGCTTGCAGTGCCACACCGCTCCTCACTCATGGAAAGTGGTCTTTGAGTCTTCTGGCAAAATGTATGAACTCATTATGTCGGCCTGCTCAGCCGTAGAGGCAGCTGCCTGGCGTGACCACATTTGCGCTGGCATTGATAGACAATCGCAGGCCGAGATTGAAAATGGAACGAATGCCCTACCGCTGAGCTGTCCTCTCGCAGGAGAGATGAGAAGTGTCGGCAAAGCACTGGGGAAACCGAGCAGTTTCGTCCGAAAAATGTCGCGGGCAGCGACTGTTGGGCCATGCTCAGACATGAATCAGGTCATAATCAAGAACACGCAGGCGGTGAAAGAGGTGCAAGAGAATGGTTCGCAGACATCTCTACATATACCTCGATCTCAGTCTGTTCAGAGTCCGGTCCACATACAGACATTGGCACCTCGACGAGGAGATCGACTCAGACTTGAAACTATCCTGTCGGATGTCTGGTCGAAAGATGCTCTACCCTATCCTGGGATGATGCGTCGCTCGGATCCGATTCGAGCTTCAGCGAACCATGTAATACGGAAATTCAGCATGGCCAGCATTACCAGTAACTTCTCGTCGTCAAAGCGAACTCCAAGCTATACCAGTGTGAACTCGGGACGTAAAGAAGACATGGCTCCCTCCCGAGCATCACGAAGCAGTCAACACGACAGCTTTACCACGGCGACCTCCAGGCATACTCGACCACTTCCTGTGAGCTTCCACACTGCACCAGACCAATTCCTGCCTGCGGACTTCGAGATCCAAGACCCTGCAAAGTCGAACAAGAAGTCAGCCTTTCGCACCTTCACACTCACTATGGAGCGGCCTTTCAGTCCCCTCCTGGGCAACGAGAACAAGCCTTCTTCACTCCGCCGAGCTCAGAGCGTCAGAAATGTTGCAGACGACCACTCGCCGCCGATGTGCTCTCCAACGCCGCCACCGCTGCAGCCGCCAGCCGAGGACAGGACATCACAGCCTGAGGCTCCTGTGTATAGCGTGGTTCAGGAAAGTGTCAACTACCCGACGGCGTTGCAACCCAAGACCAATCCTCTGCCAAGAGAAGTGTTGCCAGCGATGACGCCGAAGAAGAGCAAGAGCAGATTATTTAGGATGTTTCACTAAGGACAAGCATGTTTGGTCATTGGAAGCCAGATTCGTGTTGCATGGTTGTCTTCAAACGCTCGCGAGGAGTGATTTTGGGTACGGATTTCGAGTTGGCTAGCCCTTTGAGAGACGAAGGTGCTGTTCTGTACGAATCCATGTTTCTCTCCTTGACTTTCCCGCACAGAAATGCGCTGTAATGTGATCACTAATAATTTCATGCTGGTGGCTATTCCTGTTGCCCAATGCCCCTGCCTGCCCCTGCCTGCCCCTGTTGAAAATGATGTAATACGCCCGTGCACGTGTGACTTCATCGCGACAGGCACGCGACCTTGGACGAGCTGAGCTCCACCTTGCTTGGAAGCTACGAGAGCTCTTCTCTTTTCAACACAATCCTCGCTCCTTTTCTACAACAAGTCCATCGACACACGCTCGAAATCTTCACAGCAACTACCAAACCAAACTCAGAACCACTCACCACCACAATGCGCGGAAACGACGCTACCACCAAAGTCCACTACAAGGGCAGCGTTGACGACTTCATCATCTTCGTCGACAGCGCAAAGGCCGTGCAAGATTGGAAGCAAGACAGTAGCATTCCACTTGCACAGGTAGTGAGCGGATTCAAGATTTTTGTGACCCACAAGTGAGTGCTCACGCAATTGGCGGGTGTGGGCGGCTTTGATTCAATGGAGCTTGACTGACCAATTGGCGTAGGCAGGGCAACACTGGCATTCTGGACGGTGCTTCTAAAGCTCAGCTTGAGAGCGAGTTCGGCTCGAGCAAGGACGACGATGTCGTGAAGCAGATACTCGGGAAGGGGTCCATCGTTGAGTCCACGAGCTCTGGTCGTGACGGCGTGAAGAACATCTCGCAGGGCGGAACTGTTGCGCACTAGGCGCGAACAAAATGTGAGCTGGCTCACTACATAGCGACATAGCCGGCCCAGGATACCCAGAAGCCAAGTGGTCAGGAGCTGGGCGCGAGGCACAGCCTTACATGGGCCGGCGCCATCAGATACGAGGCATGATGAATGAAAAGCAATTGAAATGAAAATGAAGTGTCAATAAAGTGAGCTGTGTCGACCGGTGATGTTTGGCTGTAGGGTGGGATCTTACTGGTAGCTTCAGAAAGGCTCTCTCGCAGTTGCCTTATTCGCCTGACTTGAGCAGCAGCACCACCACCACGAAGCAACCAGCAACCTCGAAAACCTTCGACACGACATCATCGGCGCCAGCAGCTCAATAAAGTCGCACGCGACTCCGCATATCAGCGCTGCGTTCTCAAAGCGCTTCGTTGTCTGGTCTTTGAGCCAATCTGAGACACACAGCTCGCGGCGCGCGCACCACATCGCACATAGCTGGCGTGGTCGCAACTTCTCATTCGATCTGACTTCCATCTAACATACCAGCTTTCACCATGGCGAACAACGTCGATCTCGCCGATCTCGCCAGGTATGTAATGCTGCCTTACACTATCACGTCTCCGCTGACATCCAGACAGTCGAATTTCGGGCCTCCCTGACGAATTGCAGGACTGCATCTTTGCCTATATCAAGTTACCAGCCTCGCAGCGTGCGAGCGCCTTGATCCCGAGGACCGCAAATGCGGCTACCGATCCTTCTATCCCTCCAGCCAACGGCCGCTGCGTCTTCATCCAGCTTCCCAAGGAGCTCCTTGCAGCTGTACTGGGCATCGAGCTGCTGTCCAAGAACAGCATCATTAAGCCGACATGTGGCGAGGACCTGCGCAAAGATCCTACAAGGACACCAAAGCGTAACAGAACTAGCGATTTTATGGTCCTCAACAAGGAAATCAAGAGACTTGTGACTTATATGATTTACAAAGGTACATGCAGCAGATTTAAAGCTCTCAGGCAGTTTCTAATTGTTGACAGAACGCCGCTTTGAGATTCATGTCCACCAGGGTGTCAACACCGCAGGCATCGAATTTCTTGATGTCGGACGGCAGCCGCTTCACTACCAGCTTGACACCGGCGACGCTCGTTTCGAGAGATTTACGGAGCGCGGCGACTTCGAATTCGGTCAACTGAAGAAGATTGACATCAAGATCTTTCAATCCGAAGAAGACGTACGAGACAAGATCACGATCAGCAACACCTACTTCATCCACCAGGCCCTGTGTCAATTGCTAGAACGGAACAACGAAGATGAAAAAGATCGCATTGTCTCGATCCGCATTTCTTTCGAAGGACCACATCCCGGGGCGCAAACCTCCACCACCGGTCGAGCTCAGATTATGGCAAACGAGTACTACTGGTGGCACCCGGATCAGAAGAAGCCACGATCTACCTGCCTTCAAGGCCTTTCTGACATCGAGCTGGTGTTGCGCCCTTTCTCGCGACTCTCCAAGGTTCACAACGTCGATGTTGAGCTTCCGAAAGGCGTTGCAGGCCATGCGCCGACTATCCAATTCAAGAACGATCTCATCCGGAGCATGACTTGCAAGGACAATGGGTATAGCTTACCGGCTCACGATATCTTGGAGGCTCAGATGCAGGGACCTCGAATCGCGGCAGAGAATTTCAGTAGATACAAGAAATACGGAGGCAAGCCGGGCAACGATGTTGCTGACATCGCCGCGGACGAATTGTTCGACCATACGTTCGACTCGTGGCCTAAGCGAGATCGTTCGAGGGGTAGCGAGGTTGGAAGTCGGATCGGCTCGAAGCGACAAAAGACTGCAATGCTTCGGCATGAGTCCTCCCTTGGTCTAGAATTTGGCCGAATTGGCCTTATGGATAAGAACGAGCATGCCGACGAACCGTTCGCGTGGGCGAATCTGAGCGGAGCAGAGCAATGGGCATTGACGGAAGAGCAGCGGGCGATTGAGCGATCCCTCGGGGATAGCCAAGGTGGCAGTGTTCGACGCGAGCCTTCAGATGACAGCGGTAGCGGTGTTCCACTTACTGGCCAGCTTCACCGTATGCGGTTTCCAGGAGGTATTGGTCAAGCTGGTCCTGCGACCCGCAACTGCGCCCTCGACGCCGCCTGGCCGCCTATCCTCCCCGAGAATGTGCATGCGACCTCCGTCAACGAGCCAGTGCAGCGCACCGGAACTGGAGCTTGGCAGAAATTCGCCGAAGACAACGCCGAGCAAAGCTGAGAATAGGTGCAGCGATGCAGAACGGAGGTCATGGTCATGTCCACAATATGGGCAGTCACAAAGGGGTCTATGAGAGATGGCGAAAGCGATAGTGGTCCGGACATTGACTCGTTGCATTCGAGGGGCAGCTCGTGCTCGCGGAGGAAGTCTTCTCAGTGCAGACGCTACAGAGGAGGGATTTCAGCATTTGCATCATGCACGTAAACTCAGGCAGAAGACCAAGTCAGAGCCTGGGGCATCATCATACGAAAGGCATGGCAGGTCACAGTATATTGTGGCCGAGACTAGTCGGCACTCAGCTTACTGTAGCTGCAAAGTGCTTATTCGATGTCTTGTCTTCCTTGTGACTTGTATAGAATTCCAGCGAATGCGCGGTGGTGTTGACTGTGTGTGTGTGCCTGCGTTCAGCTGTGAACAAGCAGCAAAATTCTTGATTAGTTCTGATGGAAGTGTTCATCTCCCACGCTAGAAAGCAGTTTCACATGCTACTGCCACGTGGGGCGCAGTTTGCCGACGTCACCAGTGGCTCTGAGCTGGCGCCAAACCTGAATGCCTACTGCTGATCAACACAGCTTAGGGTAGCAGCTATAACTACACTGAGCTACCTACCTTGATTGTATAAGGACGTGTTGACGAGAATCCTCGGATCGCGTACCGTTCTCTTCTGCAAACCTGAAATAGCGCGCTTGCATGGCCCCCCCGAAGGCTGCAGCATTGGCAACGATACCACGATAAAGTGAAGAGCCAGAAAACTTCCGCACGATGGCTCCAGCAAACGATCGAGAGCAGGAGAGGTCAGGAGGAAGAGGAGAAACAGATAATCGGGTTCCGCAGGTCATGCTGGACCAGGCTAGTGCAGCAGTGGCTGGCGAGAACGATATGTCAAGCTACACAGCTGCGGAGAGAAGGCATATGGGACACGACGTTGCTGTCAATGTGCCCGACTATGCAATCACTCAAGCCGACTACGATATCCCTCCGCCAGCATACGGTGACCAATATGGCACAGTCAACCAAGAGCAGGAAGGGTTTGGCACCAAAGCCAGTGTCGCCGACGATGGGCGTGTGAACATTCGCATCGATCAGCGCAGTAGACGACTCTCCCAACTCCTCGTCCCGAGCCTGAAGCAGCTCCAACAAGCCGCAGACCAGCAAGATGCACCTCCGCCACCATACATTCCACCATCACTGGGAGGTGCTGGAGATGAGGCCCCGCCTCCGCCTATGAATGTCGTGATACAGATCGTGGGATCAAGAGGTGACGTACAGCCTTTCGTAGCATTGGGCAAAGTGCTGAAGGACACATATGGTCATCGAGTCAGAGTTGCAACGCATCCGAACTTCAAGGATTTCGTTACCGAGAACGATCTGGAATTCTTCAGTATAGGCGGTGATCCTTCAGCGCTTATGTCGTTCATGGTCAAGAATCCTGGTCTAATGCCCGGTTTTGACACGCTACGTGCTGGAGACGTTGGAATGAGGCGAAAAGAGGTTGCAGAGTACTTGCGTGGCTGCTGGAGGTCATGCTTTGAGACCGGTGACGGCATGGGACCTGAGGCTACGGATGATACGATCGAAGACTGGACATCACACAATCCAAACGAGACAGACTATCTCAATAAGCCCTTCGTTGCAGACTGCATCATTGCAAATCCTCCGAGTTTTGCGCATGTTCACTGTGCAGAGAAGCTAGGCATTCCCTTACACATCATGTTCACGATGCCCTACTCTCCAACACAGGCTTTTCCCCATCCGTTGGCGAACATTCAGTCGTCGAATGCCGACGATCATTTGACGAATTACATTTCGTATGCTCTTGTCGATATGCTCACCTGGCAAGGATTGGGCGATGTCATCAATCGATTTCGACAGCGCAGCCTTGGTCTTGATCAGGTCAGCTTGATGTGGGCACCTGGTATGTTGCAGAGACTTCAGATCCCTCATACTTACTGCTGGTCACCGGCGCTCATCCCAAAGCCCAAGGATTGGGGCGCGAATATCAGCATTTCTGGGTTCTACTTCCTTGACCTCGCCAAGAACCACACGCCAGATCCTGAGCTCAAAGCCTTCCTGGATGCTGGGCCGCCTCCAGTATACATTGGATTCGGTTCCATCGTTCTTGATGACCCGAACGCTATGACGCAGCTCATCTTTGATGCTGTGAAACTGACTGGCCAAAGAGCTCTTGTCTCTAAGGGCTGGGGAGGTATGGGAGCAGATGAGCTTGGGAAGCCGGACAACGTCTTCATGTTGGGCGATTGTCCGCACGACTGGCTTTTCAAACAAGTCTCGTGCGTGGTGCATCATGGCGGAGCTGGCACCACCGCTGCAGGAATTACAGCTGGCAGACCTACATTAGTGGTACCATTCTTTGGCGATCAGCCGTTCTGGGGTGCAATGGTTGCAAGGGCGGGAGCAGGTCCAGAGCCGATCCACCACAAGCAGCTTACTGCTGACAGTCTCGCGGAAGCCATCAAGAAATGTCTCGAGCCACAGACTCAGGAGCGAGCAAAAGAGTTGGCAGCCTCAATTGCCACTGAGAAGGGCAGCGATGTTGGCGCACAAAGCTTTCACCAATTTCTAGATGTCGACAAGCTTCGATGCAGTCTGGCGCCTTCAAGGCCCGCAGTGTGGCGTATAAAGCGTACCCAAGCACGACTCAGTGCAATGGCAGCTTGCACTCTTGCACAAGAAGGCTTGCTGGACTTCAATGATCTCAAGCTTTATCGGCCACGGGAGTATGAGGCTGATGAAGGGCCTTGGGACCCGATCACTGGCGGTGCGAGTGCGCTAGTCGGAACAATGAGCACTATGATGCTGGGCGTTGCAGATTTCCCTATTGCAACTCTGAAAGCTCTTAAAATTCACCCTGACGCGCAGACCAAGAAACAAGGCAAAAAGCCAGAAGGCCAGCAGAATGCCGAGAGCTCTGGTGCTAGTGTCACTTCAGGCGGCACTGGCACTTCTGCAAGGCAGACGGAGGATGCGGCCCCTACAACGACTGGCTCTTCGTCGCCCCCACCCGCGATGACACCAAGGAGCAATGCCGACAATTCAGCAACGGGCGAACAAGCCTCTCGGAGCACAAGCAGCTTCAACTTTGAGGACTCGCTTCAGCGACTCAACGCTGGACCGCTCTCGCCTGGCATTCAGCGCGATGCAAACGGCAAGCGGATGAATTCTTCATTAGCTGATGCTCTGAGTGGACAGCTTGGCGGCAGGCCACGGTCTCGCTCAAACAGCCGCAGTCCAACTGCAGCTCAAACAGCTTCTGGTGGTACCGACTGGAAGAGCAACTTCCAAAATGCACAAGGCACTGCCAAGGGCGTACATAAAATCGTCGGGGCTGGCATCAAATCGCCGCTGGACTTCACGATGGGGCTTACCCGAGGCTTCCACAACGCCCCAAAGCTGTATGGCGATGACACAGTCCGGAAATCAGAGAATGTTACGGATTTCAAGTCTGGACTCAGAGCTGCTGCGAAGGAGTTTGGCTTTGGCATGTACGATGGAATCACAGGACTAGTAACGCAACCTATGAAAGGTGCTGCTAAGGAGGGACCAGCAGGATTCGTCAAGGGTATTGGCAAAGGCATTGGCGGTATCGCTCTCAAGCCTGGTGCTGCCTTCTTCGGTATTCCCGGTTATACGATGAAAGGCGTGTACAAGGAGCTGCAGAAGCGTTCCGGATCGAGCGTGCAGAACTACATCATTGCCTCTCGAACTGCACAAGGATTCGACGAGTATCAGAAGGCATCGCCGGAAGAGTGCCGTGATGTAATCATGCGATGGCAGGTACTTCAAACTAACCTCAAGAAGAAGAGAAATCCAGATGAGATGGTACGAGACATTCTCAAGGAGCAAATGGGCAAGAGAAACAGAGCAGGCACTGCCACGTCCAGCCGGCCCGCAGTCGATCCTGAGAATGCCATGCTGGCCATAGGCACACCTTCAAACGCCATGGATCCGGCGGAAGCTGAACAGCGGGCTATCGATGAAGCAATCAGACTTTCTGTGCTTCAAACCTCACATGGTGATGCTGCTGAGGATGCAAGAGTTGAGCAGGGCATAAGGGACAACATGGCTGAGATCCAAAGAGTGCGCACTACGCGGGTAGACCAACATGAGCAAGAGCAGCTACAGCAAGCCATGGACGCAAGTAGTGCCGAGGCGGCGCGGCATCAAACGGAGAGAGAGCAGTACGAACAAGACTTGGAGAAAGCTCTAGCACAAAGTCTGAAAGAACAACGTGGCTGGCACGACAGTGATAGCGAAGCGGGCATTCACAGTCCGGCTTTATCCGAAGCAACGCTGCCCCCTCCGCCGAACGAGAAACCTCCGGAATATCTTCCCACCGATACGGGGCATCTCGCTGGGACTACGCAAGCAGAGTTTGAACGACAGCAGTCTTCTTCTGCAAAGTCTGGTGGTGCCAGGGAGAAATCGCAGCAAGAACGTGATGAGGAACGGATTGTTATGGAGTATGTTAAGAAGCAGAGTTTGCTGGAGGAAGAGAGTAAGAGGAATATGAGTGGCAAGGGCGAGGATGAGGATGATGATGAGGAGTTACAGAGGGCTTTGAAGTTGAGTTTGCAAGAGGGATTTGCTTCGGGGTCTGCTTCTGGGAGATGAGGGAGTGGTGGGAAGAGATGTGATGATGTGAAATGAAATGAAATGAAATGAAATGGACAGGAACTTGAATGGGCTATGTTTTCTGCTTTGGTGTATGGAGATACCCCTGATGCAAAAGATAAATGATTATTGATCGATCCGAGTATATACATGTATACATATTCGAATTCACTGCATATCGATGCCAGTCACGACGATAGCCACATTCTGAAGCTCTTCTATTAACTCACTATCTGTACCTTGTGCTCAAGTGTCCCCGATCCGATCCTAACAGAACGAAACAATCATCAGGTCGTTCATTTCTTCCATCCATCCATCCCAAAAGCAGTTTCGTACAGGGCCCCGTCCTTCGCCCTGTACCGTCGCGCCTCACCAACTCAAACTTCTTCATGTACGTAGGTAGTATGAGATTTTGGCCGTCCGCTGCTTATTTCCCTTTCGTGTTCCATCCATCTTCCTTCCTTCCTGTCCCCTCGCCCATCATGCTTCATGCTTCATTTCCATCATGCGCCATTTCCTTCCAAAAAAATGCTTCATGATTGAAATTGCTTCTCACTTTCGAACAGAGCATGTTCGATGACACGTGAGATCGGGTGTCTTTCATGCCTTTCGCAAACAAGCAGGTGGCATGTGGAGCGCTGTCCCTCATCCCCATTGTAGTTGGGTCGGTGGGTTTGTCTGCTTAGCGCCAAGCGCATGTCTGCGAGCAGATTCCGCCATCCAGAGCCCACATCTTCTGACTGTCTAGCATGTCCTCGAGGACTTGTCGAGCAGCGTAGAATTTCTGCATTGATCTGCCTCGCAGGAGTTTGTTCTTTGTCCTGTCGCGCTGGATTATCCAGAAGGGGAGGCCCTCTTCCGCTTCAGCTATCTGCTTGGACAGCGCGCAGTCGCGGTGGTGTTCGACTTGGAAGGCGGCATGGACGGCGGCAAGAGCTGGTGTTGCGGCATATGCATCACGCAGGGCCTGGGCTTGCACCTCCTCCTCATCCTCCTCGTCATCCTCTTCTTCGTCGTCTGAGGATTCGTATCCAGAGTCAGAGTCGATTGCAGAGGTGTTTGTGACTTGTTCCAGCCATGCTAAGATTTCTTGTTCAGCTTCATCCCCCCATTCTGACTCCTCTTCGTCCTCGAAGACTTGCTCAAACTGTGTTTCGAGGCGGAGGACCATGCGCTCAAACTCTTGGACATCGTAATTGTCCCAGTGAAGACCCAGGCCTCTTGACAGGGTGGCGTAGAAGAGGTCAAGATTGGGACGTTCGTCTTCAATCAGCTGCTCGTTGGAGGGCTCTGTTGCGACCGGTTTAGATGGCGGTAGGAGCTTCAAGGTGCGTACTGCTGGCTGTTGAGCCTGGCCAGTGTTCGGTTCTTGATTGGACAACTCCGTTGCAGCCGGTTCGGGTGATGTTCGCGGGCTGCAAGAACCGGGGTCTGGGAGGCCAGCGCCAAAGTTCGTATGTACGGGCTGCTTTGGGCTTTTGATGCTGCGTCTAGCCTCCTCAGCGGTATCATCGATACTGCCAAGGTCTGCATTCACGTGATGCTTTGCACGTTTGATGCTGCGTCCAGTCTCCCCAGCGGTATCATCGTCCGAGTCAGATTCTCGAGGACGTTTCTTGGGGTCGGTCTGTATGATCTCGCCTGAAAGTTTCGGGTGTTTGTTGCTGTGTTCCAAAGCTTGACGCTCGTCCTCTTCAGAATCCTCACAAGACCGCTTCTTTGGAGTTGCGTTTGGGGTGATCGCAACAGTTTGTTGAACCGAGTCTGTGACTAGGTCCGCCAAGAAAGATTTCATTGTTGCTTTCTCGTGCTCTACCTTGTGAAAGAGTGTCTCGACTCTGCCAAGAAGATGTGGAAAGGCGAGAGGATCTGGCCTGTATCTGGGGTTCTGATCAAGACTCTCGTGGTCGGAGAGCTCTGCATGGAGATAGCAGATTTGGGCATCGAAGTGCGGGAATGTGCCGATTTGAATTTGGCACTCTCGGAGCGCTGATAGCTCATGCCTCTTCGCGTCGAGCATCTTAATAGCACGACCGATGGGCTTGTAAATGTGTCGATTGCAGAATGGCACAAGGGGACCGTCGAGGTCACCTCGCGGTAGCCACTTGGTCATTGAGCCAGGCACGCGTGTTCGCGTGAAACTTGCTGCAGATGTGTTCATTTTGATCGACAATTTACTTCTGGCTTCTGATTGCTGATGAATGGAGATATCAGCAGCGCCCTGAGCCTTGACAAGATTTGGGTATGAAGCTTCAATACCGTGCTAAGGCTTTCTTTTTGCCGATCTCCGCAGCTGGTGGCCAGCACGCCGTTGACTTGCTGGCGGAGCTTTGTGAGTTTTGGAAGTTCTTGCTTGTCTGAAATGGTTGACTTTTTGCTGCTGTTGATGGCAGTGGTAGTCTTTGATTGCAAGTTATGCTGTTGTCTTGAGACGATTTTGGTTTGGATTGAAGTGTGTGTATGGCAGTGGTAGTCTTTGATTGCAAGTTATGCCGTTGTCTTGAGACGATGTTGGTTTGGATTGAAGTGTGTGTATGGGAGAGAAAGGAAGAGGGTGAAAATCCCCAAAAGATTTTGCACTCTACATCTGCGAGGCGAAATTGGGTAATAGACTCCATTACCTACCGAAAAATGAATAGAGCACCTGGATGAAGCTGTCTACCACGACCAAGTGTTCTTGTTATCCAGTAAGAGGTGACCGAGTACTACATCGCTGGAGTCTGGGGGTATAGATGCTTACAATGCTGTAAGGCACTGACAACCTGGTATGCCTTTTGCCCTGAAAGGAACCCGCCGCTGTAATTGGTCTTACACATCTCTTGAGACGGTATTGGGGGAAATTTGAGCTCGTAGCTCGAATGTTGGAAGCAATTGCTATGGACCATGGACCATGATATGCTTGGGAAGCTGGTCACGTGATCCCGTGGAGTCATGCTGGCTCTTCGTTTTTTCCGAGCGTCAAGCCACAGACGTGTCCATTCCTCAGATAACAGGGCATTCAGTGGAAGAATTCATGTTCGTGAGTAGGGTCGGTAACACGTGGAAGGGATCTGGTCGAGCCATTTAGCAGATTGAACTTGACGTGGTGCGAGGACTTGCCATCGAAACGGAAGCGGAACTTGTACCAGTGTACCATTTTTCCACGCTGCTGTTGGACTTGCACCTCGGTATCTCTCATTATTATTGTCAGTCGTGCCGCTGTGAGACGTCTGGATGGCGATGGCGGTGTATGTGCGAACTAAGCAGGTGTGATTGGTCAGGTCGAGATGACGCGCTGGGGGGCAGTGAAACATCTGGAACGTCGACAAGAAGTGAAGAAGCTGAAGAAGCTGCTGCGCTGCGCTGGGTTGGGCTGAGAGAGAAATGGTCGATATGGCCATGGCCAATGCTGTTCTGCTTTGGCGTGAGAGCTGGTCAGCCTGTGCACGCAGTGGGAAGGTCGTAGTGGACAGAACGTCTGGGCCCTGAGCTGGGCTTGGCATGCTACGTAGTGTCAGCGGTAGCGGTAGGCCGGTAGCGCATCTTCATATCGACATTGCTGCCATTTTGAGCCCCACGTATCGGCCATTGAACACATCACTCTCTCTCTCTCACTCCACCAACAGCCTCGCCTGCAACTACCTCCTTGTCCAGCAGAGACCACACTCCAGGTCAGTAGCTCCGTCTTTCATCCCCTCCCTCTCCCCGGCGCATGCGCCAAGGATGCCTCACAAACAGCTCCCGCGTGTTGGGCAGCATTCGGTCGTCCACGATGCGATGCGGTGTGTGCCAGCGAGCGCGCCGGCGACAGCGAGATCGAAGAGATGCCATCGCGAAAGAGCTGGGCAGGGTCGCCAGAGCAGTGGCTGCTGCATAACATTCGATCATTGAGCGCTCTTGCTACCAAGGCAGCGGTCAAGCACAGCACGACAGTGGCAGTGGCATCCACGACCGCTTGATCATCTCAGGGCATTGCGAGTCTGCGCTGCTCCCAGCGATTGCGCGCAGCTCTGGCGCTCTGCGACCTTCTTCTCTTCACCTGTTGTCAACAACAAGAACAACAACCCAAACACTCGCATTCACATCTCCTGCACACCCTTGGACATCACACGTGTCGCACTCATGCATTCTTCAACTCCAGTGCAACATCAGCACGCCGACGACCACCAACTGACGCATAAACTAAAGTCGCAGACGAAACAACATACCAAAATGGGTTACGAAGACTCCGTCTACCTCGCGAAGCTTGCTGAGCAGGCCGAGCGCTATGAGGGTAAGCTGAAATGGTCCCCTATCGCGCTCGGCAGTACTGACAGCCGCCGCAGAAATGGTCGAGAACATGAAGGCCGTTGCCTCCGCCGACCAAGAGCTTTCTGTCGAGGAGCGAAATCTCCTCTCCGTCGCCTACAAGAACGTCATCGGTGCCCGCCGTGCATCCTGGCGCATCGTGACTAGCATCGAGCAAAAGGAGGAGAGCAAGGGCAACGAGCAGCAAGTCACTCTTATCAAGGACTACCGCCGCAAGATCGAGGCCGAACTCGCCAAGATTTGCGAGGACATTCTCGAAGTCCTGGACAAGCACCTCATCCCCTCGGCCCAGAGTGGCGAGTCGAAGGTCTTCTATCACAAGATGTACGTCTGCCACGTGCCTCCTCCTCCATACACACTTGCAGCATGCTAATCACGTTCCTGCTGCAGGAAGGGTGACTACCACCGCTACCTGGCCGAGTTTGCTATGGGCGACAAGCGCAAGGAGTCCGCCGACAAGTCTCTCGAAGCGTACCAGGCCGCTACCGAGGTCGCTGGCACTGATCTCGCCCCTACCCACCCAATCCGTCTTGGACTTGCCCTCAACTTCTCTGTGTTCTACTACGAGATCCTCAACTCTCCCGACAAGGCATGCCAAATGGCCAAGACCTCGTTCGACGAGGCCATTGCCGGTAAGTCAACGGCGATGTCCAGATCTAGTCTACGACCATACTAACGCGCACACAGAACTCGACACGCTCTCCGAGGAAAGCTACAAGGACTCCACGCTCATCATGCAGCTGCTCCGTGACAACCTGGTATGTGGCATACGCTCGTTCATATATGTTGGCGACACTAATAATGATTCGCAGACTCTCTGGACTTCGTCCGAGGCTGAGCCTGCCTCAGATGCCCCAGCCGCCGCCGAGGGCGAGTCGAAGGAGCACACTGATGCACCAGCTGGTGAAGATGCCAAGCCTGCTCAGTAGTCGTTCTATGCGTTTTCATACATCGACGGTCGTTCATTGAGAGCGGGTGGAGCCAGTGTGTTGCTGGAGCTAGTGGTGCATTCTCTTTTCTCTTGGACGTAGAGGTTGGAGGCAGCGAGACGGAATATCCTGCATGATGCTAGTCCTACATGCCTACAAGTCTACTACAAGACAGACCTCCCCGAAATAACAAAAAACCTGAAAGTTGATATTCAAGCTGCTCACTGCACTCGGAGGGCAAAACCTTGCACGATGATGGCCTCCTGTGCTTGGCTCGGACAGCCTTGCTCGCACTGTTTCTACCACTGCTGTGGATGTACTCCTTTCGCGACGCTCACGACAGGTCGACAGCGAGCATATCCGGCACGGCACACGATAGACGGCATGCTACCGTGGAACGATGAACTGCAGAGACCGCACGATGCTGTCGAAACATTCGGCAGCGGACTGAGGTCCGAGTTTGCGATCACGCTCCACGTTGGCGACAGAGCGGTCCTGGTGCAGGAAGGCAAGCTGTGGCCTGCCATTGCTGCTCGATTCGGCAGGTACACTGGCAATTACATATCAAGAACACAACTCATCTCGCTTCTCGTTCATTGCGGCCAATATGTGCATTATTTGTTTGCAGAACGTGACGGCTGCCCGGTGCTCTCGAGAAACAGCGCATTGATATCGAGAGCTTCCCAGCAGCTTGGTACTATACTGGTTATAATATAGCTATTTCTATAAGGAACGGCGGCTTCAGGCTGTCACAGATCCGATGCAATATTATTGCTGAGTGTGGCAGATGTCAAACGACTCTCACAGGCGGCTTCTGACTCCGCACGAACTCCTCGGAGACGGCTCGAGCGAGTAAGGTACGCGACCAGTGGCGCTCGGCCACAGCAATAATGTGGGCTTTTACCAGGAGCGGAAGGGATGGTTGTTCGGTGCCGTACCAAGGAAAGTCGGCCGCGAATGCAGGTCCACGACTCCACGCAAGTGAAGAGCACCTGTGCGTGTGTTGGCCAGGGTCACGACTTGAAGCATTCTTATTGTAGGAATCGCTCGGGCGCTGTGAACGTAATCCTCCGCGCAGCAGAGAAAGGCCACGAGTCGCGCGCAGGCTGCTGCTCAGCTGCTGTCTGGCGAGTCGAGCCGTCGGCTGCGCAGTGTGCAAAGGTCAGCAAGTCAGCAAGCAGCTGAGCCAGCCCCTTTGCCTCTGCCGCCCGAAACAGGCATGCCGCCAACATGGCAGAAACGGCGGAACACCCGGACGATGAGCATAACTTAGAGCCTTTTGACTCTTGAGTGCGCGAAGTAGTGGATCTTATAGTTTTCGAAGAGCGGCAGAACAAACGAGAACCCCGCCGGCGCTGGGCGGTGGTACTTCTCAGTGATCTCACCATCTCGCCTTGTTTCCTTCCCACACCACATCTCAGAATCGCTATCATCTCCTTGGGCGTCGTTTCGCGGGCAGCAGTTTCGTGCTTTGAGTGACCTTCTGCCGCGTTCACGTTCGCGTTCGCGTTCGCCTTTCTGCTGTGAGTTGCTCCCTCCATTCTGTGTCTTCGGCGCTCGCCCAGCCCAGCCCAATTCATCCGCCATCCATCCATCTGTCCTAGACCAAAAGACCACAGCCAGCAAGTGGGCGCTCCGGGGATTCGGAGGCGATCCGGGTGCAAGCAGTCGCTCGCAGGCTTCCGTGTCGCAGGCTGGACAGAGGACGCTGCTGCTGCCACCCCAGCCCCATGCGCGCCCAGTCAGATCTGCACATCACTCGCATCGACGGCGCACCATCATCATATCGAAACCACCATCGGCCCCAGTCCATCTCGTCGAAAGCGTGCGGTCACCTGACGCTCCCGTCCACATTGGACGCTGTCTAACCCCGATCGCATATCGGCGCAACCTGACTTCTGCATCACATTTGCTGGTTACCTGGTCGGCGGTCTCTGCCATACTCTGGAGCGCTCGGCTGGGCGACCTCAGCTCCCTCGCGCTTCGCCGCTTCTCAAGTCCCCAATCCTCACTTCCGCCCTCCCGCGTCTGCCCAGCCCTTGCTGCTTCAGTCCCACCTGCGGCAGCGCCTCGCGTCTGTTATTCGTCTCCATCGCCGCGGCTCACACGCATTCTGCAGATTCACCTTCGGCAAACACCAGGGACGCTCTTTCACTTTAAGCGAACCGGCGTTCTGAGCTTCCAGTGCGACATATTAGTACATCTCATCAATCAATCATTAGTGGGAAACACCTCCACAGTCTTCGCGACTTTCACCTTCCGTTGCACGAGCCACGGTCCTCGGCGCCCTCATCTTCTCCAGTAACGACACTTACGGCCGGGCGAGCATACTTATTGTCTTAGCAAGTGAGTCGGCCCTCAGCCTTCACATTGTTGATCACTCACTCACACGCAATCGTCAATGCGCTAATCATCGTCACAGGCAAGCAGACCTCGTTTACGTAAGCACACACGCGACAACGGCATTTTGCGATTCGACTTCAACCACGCACATCACCAACACCATGAGTTTCCCGAACATGGAAGGCGGCGCACAGCCCCCTCAGCAAGGTGGCCAAGAGCAAGGTGGTTTCGGTCATCAAGAACAAGGCGGATTCGGCGCAGCGCCTGGTGCAGCTCAGCAGCCGACTCCAATGGGTCAGCAGATGGATCCGACTCAACAGCAACCCGGTCAGTTCCCAGGTGCGCCGCAGGGCGGTCCGCAACCTGGGGCGCCAGGGCCGAACCAAGGTGGCGACCAGAAGACGACTTTGTGGTAAGCGCAGCAGATGGCGGATCGCACGTCGGCAGTGAGACTAAAGCTTGACAGGATGGGCGAACTTGAGCCATGGATCGATGAGAACTTCATTCGAAGCGTATGGTTTGGCATGGGCTATCAGGTCAACGTCAAAATGATTCGCGACAAGTTCTCAGGGTATGCGCTCTCTCGTTCTTGTCACGATGAACGCAAGCTGACTCAATACAGATCTAACGCCGGTTATTGTTTCGTCGATTTCGAGAACCCAGACTCTGCTGCACGGGCTCTCGCGCTTAATGGGCAGATGATCCCAAACTCTAACCGTCAATTCAAGCTGAACTGGGCTTCTGGAGGCGGCCTCGCAGATCGCAGCCGTGACGATCGTGGTCCCGAATACTCCATCTTCGTTGGCGACCTTGGCCCGGAGGTCAACGAGTATGTCCTCATGTCTCTCTTCCAGAACAAGTACCCGTCATGCAAATCCGCCAAGATTATGAGCGACCCGATCTCAGGCATGTCGCGAGGCTATGGATTCGTGCGCTTCGCCGATGAAACCGACCAGCAGAAGGCTCTTCATGAAATGCAAGGCGTGTACTGCGGCAACCGACCAATGCGCATCTCTACTGCGACTCCAAAGAACAAGAGTGGCGGCGCCGGTGGTCCCGGTATGGGTGGCATGCAACAAGTGCCTGGCGGCCAGGGAATGTACTCAATGGGCGCTCCTCCGATGGGCTACTACGGTGCTCCTCAGCCAATGAACCAGTTCACCGACCCGAACAATACGACTGTCTTCGTTGGTGGTCTTTCTGGCTACGTCACTGAGGATGAGTTGCGGTCGTTCTTCCAGGGCTTTGGCGAGATTACCTACGTCAAGATTCCTCCAGGCAAGGGCTGCGGATTCGTTCAATTCGTCCAGAGACACGCTGCGGAAATGGCCATCAACCAGATGCAGGGTTACCCGATCGGCAACTCTCGCGTGCGATTGAGCTGGGGTCGTTCGCAGAACAACTCAGGCCCAGCAGGTACTCCATACCGCCCAGCACCTCCGCCACCAGTTTACCCGTCAATGGGCATGCCTCCGCAGCACCCATATGGCAACTTTGCACCTATGAAGGTAAACCACTTTTCTCTTCATTCCTCCTGGCAAGCCATGTGAAGCTGATTCTTTTCTAGTAAGCGCATTTTCGTCCCTTTGCCTTGAGTGAGATAGCACTTTAGCGGGAGTTGGTCGAAGGTTCACATGACTTGCCTTTTACTACTGCATGCTCAAATCGCGTTTCTTACGACGACCACGAGAACGACGCTCACAGAACGGAATGGTCTCTCTCTTGGCATGAATGCATCCTACGGACAGCGGGGCGGTCAGACTGCAGTAAAAGTTTCTTTTGCACTTCTCATTACTTCAACAATACACGACAACGCGCTACATCACATCACCCGATTCGACGGCACGATTACGATTTCCTCCCCTTCTGGTGCATAAGCTGCGGCCGGACGGAGCTTGCTTCTACATTTCTGTATAACAGATGGCCTGCAGCGCGGCGCGTGGAAGATGGGCGGCTGTTTTAGCTAGCTGGTTCAATCTGCTCTCGCGAGTGATGGGCCAGAAACGTGCTTTCTCATTTTGGAGAGATCACAGACAGCTATGAAACCAAAATGCTATCTTGACTTAGTCCTTCCGTTTCCGTCCCAGCTTTCGTAGACGTAGACCTCAGCCCTGACTGGTGCCTTCTGATCACCGCTTGATCCATAGCACAAATCGACAGATTGAAAGCTTTGCTGATGCCGTTTGCAGTTGATGGGAGAACACCAATTCCTAAGACCTCTGGAATCTTGCAGCGCCGTGTTCGACAAGCGCAGAGCGACCGAATGGAGAATGCGGCCGAGAATGAAGGAGCATCATCGTATCAAGAACTGTCTCGAAGCGCAAAACTTGTTCCCACGACTGCCACTCAAAAACTCATTGTCCCGCCATAAGTCGGCATACCGAGTTGATAATCTTGGGATGCTTCTCGGTGATGCGAGACTGCCCTCGGAAAGAGGTTGAACGCCGCAAGAGCAGCAGCAGCTCAAATTTCTGGTCGAAACGGGAATGACGCCACGAAGCTCGAGTGAAGGCAAGAGCGCGCCTTCCTCCAGTACGAAATTGAAGCCGCGACACGACTCAACCTCACCGTCCCTCTTGCGACTCAACCTCCACCACCAGCGACGTATGGCGGAGACGGCACATTATCTCATTGCTTGAATGCACCGCTTCGCAAGCCTTTGCTGCGCTATCATCGATACATCACCTCACCTCCAACATGCGCTACGAAGAACTCGACATTCTGATCTTTCCGGGCGGTCATGATGGTACCGGACATATTCCAACGCAAGAGTTCAAAGTGTCGTGCTGTGCTGTGCATGACCCGAACCCTCATCCTTGTGGCCCGACCAGTAAGTGACAACCCGCTTCGGCGCGCCTGTTGAGCGAGACTGATTGTGCTGCAGTCATACCCGTGATGACCTCCTTTATTGCGAGCTTGCAACCCGGCGACCCTTTTCAAGTCTCCATCCACTCCTGGGGCAAACGCAAGTTCTTCTTCGACTCGAACGCTCGCAGCGATGATCGCCTTCAGACTCAAGTCTGGCACGCGCAGGTCATGGTCGATGGAATTTTGCAGAGCGTCGAAGTCTTCGACCCCAATATTCAGTGGCCGAAGGTGATTGCGCACAGCAATACGCACACCATGCATGGCGCAGCACTCCTCCAGTTTCCTCCATTCCATCGCTCAACCATGTCGCAGACAGCATGGAACGCGCTGGATGAGACTGGACGTATCAAGGTGGTGGTCTCGGAGGGATGGCTCAGGAATGATGGGAAGTCTTTTCACAAGTTGGCAACTCATGCCATTTTCAACTTCCAGCCGGCTCCGCTTGGTATGTTGCTGCAGCATTAGACAATCGTGGCCTGTCCACTGACATATCTTGGCAGATGTATTGCAGCGCTGCGACATCGCATGGCCAAACCCGACCATGATGGCACACCCGATAGCCCTTCCTTCGTCGTCTCGCCAATCGAGCTGCGGAAGCATGCTCAATCATGATTTTCATCATCGAAATGCAAGCATCAATAGCACATTCAGCGCTCCCAGCGCTGCCGCATTATCCTCCTCTCCTGCTTTATGCGGGCATATGCCTGGACCACCGCCACCTACACCAACTTACGCTGACAGGCTTGCTCCCTATCACCACCTACCAGATGGAAGCAGCAGATCCACTTCTGCATACACAACGATCTCCCAAGCTGCTTTGCCCTTGATGACATTTCAATCAATTGGCACTGTGGGCAATCCGCCTTCCTTCCCGGGCATTGATGGTGAGCGACTTCACCGTAGTAGTGAGGGCAATCTCCGCATGCCCAGTGGCCAACTCGATGACCTCCTTGGAGCCATTCGTGAGCAGAGAGAAGCAGCAGGCGCAGGACAGCTCGCAGATGCCTTCTCAATGCCTCCACCACCAATTCCTCAGCACGCTCTACGCGCCAGGACCGCTGAGACCGCCCACGGCCGGGCTCTCGGCAGCCCCATGATGGCCGACTCTGGAGCACAAGTCAATGAGGAGGACCTAGATCACAGCGATAGACGTGCTCTAGCTCGCTCGAACACCTCAGACGTCTCCATGCACGCCAATTGCGAGAACTTTCCGACCTGTACGTCCGAGGACGCTCAAGGCCATCTCATTCACCATTCTGCAGGTGTAGCCCCAGCTGCTGTTATGCGCGGTAGGAAAGAAGGCTCTGCAGATCTGACGCGTAAGCGCTCCAGTCCTCCAACGCTGGCATTGCTGACACAGTCAGTAGATCGTGATTTTCTCTCTCATCTCCTGAACCAGCAGTCTGATGCCTCCGCCGGCAGTCCGTCTTCAGGCGCTAGCATCGACAAGACTTCCACTCTACCTTCGTCAAGCCCGGCAATCGGTTCGAACAAGAAGCGCACACGATCGGCTGTGAAGCAGCTGAATGTCAACGAGACCGGTTCCCCGAAAAAGGAGGCAATTCAACCCACTCGCAAGGTATGTATTGACCGGTTTGGATCAAGCACCTCTACTAAGACATATGCTAATAGATGGTTACCCTGAAGTTGCGCAAGCGGAAAACGGTCCTCGCAGGATCCGATGATTAGTATGCTCTCTGTGCACCGCTTCCGTATTCGACGGGTCATATGTTCAATTTGGCGCAGTGCCGACATCACTCCTGCCCAAGCGCATTGTTGAGGAAACCTGCAGTAGTCTGAGGGCATTGGAAGGAGACTTGGTAGCAGGGAGGACTGACGTATGAGTAGCTCATATCCTGTGTTGATACAGCTCATGAAACTAATGGACAGATATCAACGACGTGCGTCTCGTTCGTTCCATCATTCCAAAAGCTGTCACTCAATCTCTTGACCAAATCCTCATCTCGTAAACGTGAACCTAGTCTAAGCTTGATCTTGATGCGAAAAGCTGGGTTGATTTGTAATTCTTCTTCTTATTTCTTTGGAGGAATGCCTGTAGCAATAGCCATGGCCGCGTTAGCTTGCTCCACCAAGGGATCATGGATTTTTGAAAAATCTAATTGTATGTTTCTTGATGATGATGATGACGCACCAGACGCTTGAGCCGCAGTTTCTTTTTCCTTTTCCTTGTCCGTTTCGCCGTGCGCGTCACGACCTGCGGCAAAAACTTGATCGAAATCGTACTCGAACCATCGAATGTCTGGATTCAAACCGGCGAATTTCCACACTCCGTTGACTTTTTTGTACCAGTGTAAGTTGAAGGAGTGGGCGTGGCCCTTTACGGCGACTTTACTTAGGGTTTCGTCGGTGTATTTTTGGTGGGGGACGCGGAGTTGGTGGTATCTGGAAGCCAAAATAGCGGTTAGAAGGAAGAAATAAAGTATGTGAGGGAGGTATAATATATAATATATTTGCTTACCCGATTATTTCATCCTCGCTCACTTTCTCCCACTTCGTGCCTCCGATGAAGTGTTGGGTTTTGAGAGTTGGGTCGCCCAGAACTGCGGGGTCCGAAGCCATTTTTATGAATTCTTCCGCTGGCATTTCTTCCCAGAGTTTGTTGAGGAAGGAACGGTAGTCGATGCGGAGGGTTGGGGCGATGCATTTGCTCAGGCGTACCCAGTCTTTGCTGTCGTAGCTGTCGGCCCATTCGTAGACGGCGGCCATGCAGCCTTGCATTTCTGGGGGAGGGGGGTGTTAGGTCACTGATGTTTTCTATGGTGGGCGTGGGTGGGGGAATTGTTTTGTAGGTGGAGCTGGAGGGTTGTGACGATTTGAGGGAGTGGATGTTTTTCCTCTTCTTTTCTTCTTTCCCTACTGTGATGGTCACAACGCTCAGGATTTCAGAATGAATTTTCGTGGTTCCGCTCATTTCTTTCCTCTATGGGAAAGACTCGCTTAAATCCCTTATTGTTTTCTTCATCATGATGGAAAAGTGGGTGATCTGACGGCAGCAACGAAATGGACTCACCCTCAAGCGTGATGAGCTTGACGGGCTCAAGCTGAGTGTCTGCGAATCCAGGCATGTTGGCGGTAGTCTGTGGTGATGTGGGAGGATGGAGGAGTGAGAAGAGGGGAGAGGGAGTAGGACCCAGACGGGATCAAGTGCAAGATAATAGTGGGCTTCTTGACATTTCGCTCTAGCTGTCATCAAGAATAACTTCAGGGCCTGCATTGGCGCATTGGGGGCTGGTGTCACCGCCAATCCTTACGATTCTCCCCGCCCAAAAGTCCGTAGCGGTAGGGCACAGCATCAGACGGGCGCGCGGTGGGGCCGGTGGTAGTGAGCAGTGGTTGGAGATGTTCGGTGCAGGAGCGACTCGGCGCAATTCATGTCAGCAGGAGTTCCAGCCTGTGCGTCCAGTTGGTGCGAAGCAGAACGAGTGCTGTGCTGTGCTGTGCTGTTCCTGCAGAGTAGTAGGCACCTTGCGCAGTAGGTTTGAATTGGCAGTTGCGCTCCGTGTACGCGGAAGTGGCTCGCACTAGTGCACTAGTATGTGAATAAACTCGGTGCAGTTATCCGTGCGTAAAGGATTAAGTGAATAAAAGCACGGGTAACTATACGAGCTCGTACAGTCAACCGTGTACGCTTATATAATCGAAAATACGCTAATTAGACCCTGCGCTAGGCCGTTAATAGTTAAGTAAAGGAGTGTGCTAAATCCTTAGCTAAATGGCTTAAACCCTGTCTCCGCCTTCTATCAAATTCAGTCTTTTAGCATAGTAGCCATCTCCTGCCGGCTACTATATGCCCCTTATATATATATATAAAGACGGAGAGTCTAGTAAGAGGTAGGTAAAGGTCGCTATGCGGCTACTAGAGGTTATATAGGTCTAGGGGCCTGTATACAATCACTCTAAGAGCCGTTATAGGAACAGCTATAGAGACCTCGGTAGGGAGCTATTATAATTATAACTAAGTCCGTATCTCGAAAGAGGTATATATTAGGGCTTCCGAGAATACACAAAGTACTCGGAAGCTTAGACTTGTTAGCAAATACCTCCTAATTAAAGCTTCTTAGTATTATAGCCGTTCCTGTTACCCTAAGACCTACCCTACTACCTATTACCGCACTTCTCGACCTAAATTATAGCTTCTCGTAGAGCGATCTATACCCTCGCTTAGGTCCTTCCTTCTATACGCTACTAGCTATAGTCCGCGACTATTATAGTTAACCTACGCTATATAGTCCAACTGTATTACTCGACAGTCTAATAACCTATCGCTTAGTAGCTAATTAGGTCTACGAAGTGAATATACTAATCGTTTCTACGCTAGTTAAAGAGCCTGTCTAGCAGCCTGTCTAGTAGCCTATCTAGTAGCCTGTCTAGCAGCCTATCTAGCAGCCTGTCTAGCAGCCTGTCTAGCAGCCTGTCTAGTAGCCTGTTTCTACGCTAATATCTACGCTAATTGAGGAGCCTGTTTCTACGCTAAATAGTACTCGAATTAATAGTTAGACCGACAGTTAGACCGATAGTTAAACTTTAGTTAATATAGGTCCTTCTTAAGACGACATTATTGCCGCTACTATTACTAAGGAATATAGCAATACTCGACTTAATAGTAATAGCTATATCTCGGCGGCTAGTAAGCTTACTCTTACTAAGGTTAGCGCTACTATAGCTTATAAGCGAGTAACTAGCAAAGTACGTAACTAGAATGCTAGCTTTAAGTCTATTGTTACTACTACTTAGCTAACTAATAAACCTCTTATTAGCGATCTAGTTAGGGCTTATCGTATAATAGTTAAGCGCCGAGTAGTTGCGAGAAGGCCTCTTAACGGAGCTTCCGGAGTTGTCGTAGCAGAGACCCTTTAAGACTAGCTTCTCGATAAGGCTACGGAGATACTGTTTCGACTAGATAAAGTATAGCGCGAGAAGATATTAAATACGAAGGAATTAAAGGCATTTAATAGTCCTACCGAGAATATACGTAACACTATGCTATCGACACTCTCTTAGCGTAGCAATAGTAGTTAGGCTCCGGCTCTAGTAGCAACGGCTCTAGTAGCGGCTCTAGTAGTATCAAATCTAGCTATTCTAACAACGCCTATTTAACGAGTAGAAGTTATCGACTTATCGACGCTATCTATAGTCGATAGTAATACTACTTAACTTACTAAGCGTCGTCGTTTAGACTTCGAGTCTAAACGGCTCTAGCGTAGATTATAGGCATAAGGAGCTATACTAAAAGAGGTACTATCGCCTATATTTAATACGCTAAGAACACTAGCTAAGAGCCGTAGCTTAAGACGCAGAATTAGCTCGCTATTAGAGTCTTTAAGTGTCTCTATTATTAGCGCCGCTAGCGAGGCGCCGAGTATACTAAGTCCTACTAGCCGTACGAGAGATATAAGCGACTTATCCGCCGTAATAAGCGCCGTAGTAAGAGACGTTAAGCTAAAGATAGTACGTTAAATTAATGCTATCTAGTCTAGTATCTAGGCTCTATAAGTAACGATAACCGCTTCGTTGCTATTAAGACTATTACCTTTATTATAAATAGAGCTTCCTTCTAACGATATCGTAGATAGTTAAACAGACTCGCTAGACTACGACAACGATAGCGACGGCTTCGTAGACCTTAATGCTATCGATAAGGATGTATTCTCGTAGATAATTTAATCTCTTAGGGTTAGGGTTAGGGTTAGGGTTAGGGTTAGGATAAGGGTTAAGCTTAGGGTATTGCAATTGTCGTATTCTTATTGTCGAGAATGTTGTAATTACTTAGTCGATATCTTCTTTTACGAGTGCCTATTCGAAATCGTAGCTTCGTTCGGTACGAGAGCGCTAAGACTCTCTATATCTAATAAAATTATAGGGTCGGAGCTTAAACGGCGAACCCGTATCGACGGCTCTAAGGGACTCGTAAAATAGGGTAGGTATTATAGTATATAGCTCGAAGTAATACGGAAAGCCGAGATTTCATCGCTTAGTAAGCGGGCTTCGACCTTCTACGACTCGCTATATAACAACGTATTACTCGTTTTCGCTCGTTTTTAGACAATAAGACGCGCCGTATACTAAAGAATATAGCGTACGTAAGAATATATAAAATTAGTAATGTTATTGTTATATTTAAAGTCGCAAAGCATCTTATATAATATACTACGCGCTAGTGCGGGTATACCCGTATCTATTACTTTCCTATATCTTCTACCTCTATCTCCTAATTTAATCTTCTCTTATTATATTAACAACCTTAATCTCGTCCGTCTTATAGTCCGGTATAACCGTCCGACTATATCTAAACGAAGCGCCGCTATCGAATACCTCGTCGCCTGCTTAAAAGCCCGCTCCGAAGTGCCTACTATAGCGTAGAAGGTCGTTGTCGCTAGTTAGAGCTATAGGTATTATAGGTAGGGATAGTAGATTAGCGAGATATTCGCGCGCACTCGGAGGCTTTACCTTATATAGTCGACTAATCTTATTCTCGCTACGATAACAAGTAAGGCAATTAGTAAGCAATATAGTAACGATATATATCGCTCCGACTAGTATTAACTCGACTCGGAGCCTATAGAAGTACTTTATTAACTCGAAGTTGTTAATAACCTCTACGAAGCCCTATTCGACTAACTAGCGGATAGTACTTATCTCCTTTATAGCCGTAGCCTCGTCGGTATTGCGAAACTCGCTATTTACGGTCTTCTAGCTTCTTATAACCCTATCGGCGACATTATATACTTAATTACTATATAAGAACACCCGCTCTTCGAAGGGTCGATATAGCTGTCTAGGTAGCTCGAAATACGACTTCTAAACCTTATTAAACCTACTCTCTAGCATTAGCGTTATATCGCCGTAGGAGCTAGGTACTAGACTATATAGCAATATAATGCTATCCGGAAGGACAATGCCTTAGTATTTGAGTCTATAGAAGTGCTTATATCTATTATAGAACGGCCGCTAGTTGTAGGTCGGCCTATAGCACTTCCGTAGGGTACTATCGATATATCTAAAGATATACTCTATATCGATTAATCTAGCAACCGTAATAGCTATTCGCTATAGGTAGGCTTTACTTAACCGGTTAAAGTCCTATACTAATCGCTCTTTCTAACGCCTTGCTATTTAAGTATACGCGGCATTAAATATACGACTAATCTAGCTATTACTACGACTAAATATCTAGCTTAGGTTACGTTAATAACCCGGATTACTAAGCCTTCCGTAAACGATATATAGTACTATTACTAGATCGCACCGTATACGCTTAGGCAACTCGATCGACTTAATATCTAGCAACTCGGCTAATTCGATTACTTATTACTTACTAAAGCGGAAGTTACCCTCGAAGTTAGCGTTAGGATACGTTTCTAGTAACTACTACTTGTCTCTTAGATACTCGCGTAGCTCTTTATATAGTCTATTATTGCGAGCCTGTCTATACTAGTATTCGCGCTCGCTCTCGCCCTCTCGGCGAATAGCTAGATCTAGTAGATTATCGGCCTCGGAGGCTAAAATAGCTATAGTTGTTACTAGTATTCTACTATAGACCGCGATAATATCCTTATTAGTTAAGAAGCCGTTAGAGTCGTATTCTTCTATAGTATAGCATAGCAATTAACATCTAATCTACAATACTAATTATAGTAAGGTCTACGACCCTAGCTACCTCTTAGTACCGAGGTTGATTACTAAGCAGCCTACTAAGAAACGCTACTAAATTACCTGCGCAAGCTCTTATAAGCCGTTATTTTGGTTATTCACTTCCCGCCGCTAAAACAGCGCTATTCGCGGCTTCTTACATGTGGCAAACGGCTGGAAACCTACTGCGTAAGGTGCCTAGTGTGGTCGGAGTGTGGTGAGGGGCGAATGGAATCGTCGAATCGGCATTCGGCTTTTGGAGGTAAACTATATTTTTAGATCGAAACCAGGGTACTGTTTACTTGTCCAAACAAACCACAAACCTTTGCGAATATCTTCACGTGCAAGCACTGCAATGGATCACGAAAGTCTGCGCACTGCGTCGACGTACCTCAATAACTTACTACTAGCAAGAGGACTCTTACGCAATGGCGAGCCGGTCGACTTCGTCAAGCCCTCGAAAGAGAGCCGCGCGCAAATCATCAACCTCGTCCACGACCTGATACTCAGAGAAGACCGGGATAAGGAACAGAGAGAACATGTTGCGACCACGATGCGGCAGCTACAGTCTGAGGACGTCAGGAAAACGCACGAGATTGAACGACTACAGACTAAGAGCGAGGAGTCGGCGCGAGCAGCAACACAAGCCCAGCAGGCAGAACGCGTCGCACTGGCGGAGGTTAAGAAGGTGGAGAAGGCCATGAAAACACTTCAAGATCAGACGACGAAGCTGAAGGCCACACTGGCGCAGATCAAGACACAGTGCACCAACGACATTAAGAAGCGAGATCTCGAATTGGCTAGATTGAAGACACATTTGCAGGGCCAACAGAGAGGCACGCGCGTGGGAATGACCGCGCCCAGCATGACTGTCAGGAGACCCGTCGTGGAGCCTTCAATGCACGATATCGAAGATCCAGCGTATAGCTTGAAGCAAGAAACGACCGAATTTCTAACCCAGCTCAGCCAAGATCTGAGCGATGAGAACGATAACTTGATCAGCCTGGTTCGAGGTGCTTTAAGCACGATGCGTGAGATTCTTGGGCTTCCTGCTAACGTGAAGCTGTCACACCCAGACAGTGCGGTGGGAAGCATGGGCAGCGAGACACAAGAGCTGAATGCGAAATACAAGAGTGCTGGGAGCGGTGACCTCATGCAAGCTGCTCCCGTTGCGTACGAGATGCTTGCGGCTGACATGGAATCAACGTTGTCTACGCTGAAGACTATCTTGACGAACCCTAACTTTGTTCCAATGGAAGAGGTCGAAATGAGAGAGGAGGAAATCATTCGTCTTCGAGAAGGATGGGAACATATGGAAAGCCGCTGGAGAGAAGTGTTGAATATGATGCATGTGTGGGTAACACGACTGAACACCGGTGAGACTATCAACATAGATGATCTGCGTAGAGGGATGGGCTTGGTCACGCCAGGCGGCAGCTCAAAAGGAGGTCGCGGTGCAATGGCGGCCAAGGAACAGCAGGATGAGAGTCTTGTCTCTTCCGAAACAAGCGAGATCGAATTGCCAAAGACCAATTGTCACGCAGGGGCTAGGACATCAGACGCGTCTTCTCGTCCTGAATCAGACGAATCAAGACGAGCTGATATATCGCCTGTGGCCCAACAATCAAAGTCCTGGAAAGGAGAACTCTTGGAGACATCAAAGAGGAAACGGAATGCACTCGAACCGCCAGAATTCTTCGACCTTCGACCGTCTGAGTCAATACCTCACAGACCAACGCCGAACTCTCCGCCCAAGTCGGTCGCTGACACAAGATCTGATCCGTTCTTTGGTACCACAGCGCTTGAAGACGATGAGAGCGAAGTTCTGGAGATTCCTCAGATGACGATCGCTGAGAAATTAAGCGCCGCGCAAGAAGAGGCTGCAGAAGCTCAAGCTGCACGTGCGAATCCCACATCGGTTCGAAGGGAAGATCGGCCATTTGGCTTGGACGGTGTCCTGGACGAACCAGAAGATGATACACTGGGCAAAATGCCTGGTGATGATACATTGGGCAGAATATCGCCAATGGCTAAGAGGACGAAGATCAAGGGAAGGCCACGCAAGAGAAAGAGTACGCTCAGTCCTGAGGAGCTGGAAACGCTTCTCATTGTTGACTTTTGACCACGCTGAGCAGGAGGTGTATGCAAGATAATGATGTATGCTTTGATAAACAGATCATGTTGCATTGGTATGGTTGGGACAGCGCAGGAGTTGTTGGATAGCGGTAACAAATGCAGTCCAAAGAACGATCTTCTCGCCGTCTCAAACATAACACCTCAGCGATTATCTACGAGAACGAGCGACCACGACGACCACGACGACCACGACGACCACGTACCGACTGTTCACACTCCAGCTCACTGAGCAACGCGTTAACATCTTCAGGCGCCAAATGCCTGGAATAATCACCCATACTGGCGACAGTAAGGTCAAAACAAGCGCGACACGTGACCGCGAGGAAGAGGTGGAACAGGTCGATCAACAAGAGGTGGAAATGGCCGCCAGATAAGGTCTAGTTTGGCTTCAATGTGACTCCTCATTTGCAGGCCTATACCATGCGATTACAAGGCTTCAAATTGGCTCGAAATTAGATCTCGTAGCGGTGACTAAGCGGTCCGTATATGGCCTGTAAACAACCATGGAAGTGGACAAGCCGCCGCTGCAGACCTAGCTGCCGTGGCGTTTCACCAGTGATGGTTTCACCACCCTCGTGGTCAGTATACAACTGCCGCCTTGTTGAATGGAAGGCAGACGTTATTAGAGTTCGCGGCACCATGCACTTTTGTGATAGGGGTAGAAATCACTTTCTTACATTATTATTAGAAAGCAGTATACATAGACTTTACTATGCGCTGCTTGTCTGTCCTTCTGAGTTTCTATCAACCACCACCACATTCACTACCACCACATTCACTACCACCACATTCGCTTGGAAAATACAAGATGCGGCTTACGACGGTTCTCTCCCTCCTTATGGCTTTCGCTAGTATACCAGTGTCTTCACGGGTTGCAGGCATCAAGCCTTACTATTTTCGTCTCGAGGGATTGATCCCACGTGAAGAGTTGGCAATGGCAGGTGCCCCAAAGGCACCTGCAAAGACACCTGGGCCAACGTCACCGGCACCTGGGCCAAAGTCATCGGCACCTGGGCCACCAACGTCACCGGCACCTGCGCCAAAGTCACCGGCACCTGGGCCAAAGGCAGCAGGGCCTAATAAGGATCCGAAAGGGAGTAAGAGACAATCCGAGCCAGCGAGGCAAGCTACTTCATATATACATATACTAATCAACCTTCTTCGCAGATGGTGGTAAGGGATAATCCAAGCAGTGGCTACTTCATACACACATACTATTATACTAATCCACCTTGTTCGATTCTCACAGGGTGGTCTAAAATCGACAAATCGTCGGGTTGTGCGCATAAATGTTGTGCAGCGACTGAGGGTGGTGCCTGCGTAAGTCATGAGCGTAGCGACTCGAGGGTTGCTCGCTAACGATTGTTTTGCTAATTCTTCTTCCGTAGACTGGTTGTTGCGCGTGGGACCCAAATGATCCTGCCCACATCCATAACAAACAAACTCCGAGCGAATGGAAAGACAGTATGAAGGGGTTGCTTACACAACCACCTTGCGAAAACACAGGCACTTGCGGCCCACCTTGAGGAAACAACGAACCGTTCAGGCCGCGTACCGAGCGGGTGTTTGGTGAGGCTCCTTTCAGTGTTTGGGCTTCAAAGCGGCGGTGGCTCCGGCTTGGGCGCTTGCGTCTTTTTGACGGCGTTGACGCTGGGGCGAGTGCCGCCCTGAGACTGTGGGTGGAGGACTTGGAGAGTGTGTGTGGCTGGCTATCACGTGCATAATGCCTGAGGCTGCAACTGTGCACACTTCATCTTTGGGCTTTCTGTAGATTAGCCCTCTTCTGAATACAACACAGTTTATATCAAGTGGTTATAAGCCCCCTGCGTTTTCTAACGCATACAACGCGTATTCTAATAGTTACTCCGACAGCTGCGTAGCTAGCGCTCGTTACTAAAAATTGCGCTAATACTAATATTATCGCTACTATTATTACCGCCGCCCTTAAGTGTTCTAGTAGGTACTAGCCCGACTCGAGTCGGTTACCTAACATTAGTATTAGCTGTCCGCTATACTAGAATACAAAACAGTATTAGCTATCCGCTATACTAGAATATAGGCGCGCCTATCGGCGGCCTCTTAAGATAAGTCTATAGTCTCTTTCTATATTATCGCCGTCGCTGTCCGCAATAGCTCCCCCTACAACATCTAGCGCTTATATAAGCAACATTCCTAAGCTAAAGAATAAGGAGAACTACCTATTATAGTTATATGCCGCTAAAGGCGCCCTTAAGAGTATATCGGTCTAGCGCTATATATAAGGTACCTGCCCGCGACCTCTTACTAAGGCCTCTAGTAAGACTTCTAAAGAATTTAAGGACCGTTAAGATAAATAGGACTCTAAAGATCAAACGGCGCGTACCTAGATCTTCGCTAATTATATTAGTAATATTTAATAATTACTACTTAGTCTATCTATATCCTAGGAAGTGTAGGACTTCCTTAAGAAGAAATACACTAGTAAAGGTAGGTCTACTGAATTTATACTCTTCTAGGACTATATTACTCTTCGCTACGATAGCAAGGACGTTAAGAAGTTCTATAACGAATATAAGAAGAAACTCGGTGCCTTAAAGGACACTAAATTAGCTATTAGCTAATATTAGGCTGTCTATATGTTTATTATGCAAATTGCACCGTTCTACGAGGCTTTCGTATAGATACGCCGAGAGCAAATACGAGCCTTAGAGTATACTATTAATAATAGCACTCTTAATAATATTATTAGCGCGTTACTTAATAAGAATATAGCTTAATTAAACTAGGCCTAGTATAATAGTTTCTTCGGTCTTTAACGCTAGTACTAATAGTAAGGTAGTAGTAGCAATAGCAATAGTCGAGGTAACTCGAACTATAGCGGTCGTAGTAGCCGCGGAAATAATAATAATAGCAACGGTCGAGGCCGCGGTAGAAGCAACTAGAATAGTTATTAGTCTAACCGTAAGAAGTGCGCCTATTATTAGGGGTCGCATCCTTCTAACTGCTACTATAACAAGTACCCTTATCTAAAGGAGGAAGACCGACTGCGCCGTAAGTAGCAGAAGGCTAAGAAGAAGGGGATATAGCAATAGCAGTAGCGTAGACTAACTGCTTAGCAACCTTAGCCGAGTATATAGGGCCTATTTGCTAAGGATACACTACCCTTATTCTATAACAATCTACGTCCGGATTTAGCTAGTTTAGGTAGCAACTACGCCTTTAATACGATTACTATTAGTAACGCAGCGTCTATAGCGCTTACTATAGCGACCTGTACTACTAACTAGGTTATAGACTCTAGTACTAGCATATATATAGTTAATAACCCTGCTCTAATTCTTAAATATAAAGGTTGCTATATCCCTATTCGGTTTAGAGGCAATACGAAGCACGTAACAATAGTTAGTGTTGCTTAGACAGAGGTAGTTAACGAGTATAGTATTAGTAATATAAAGTTGTTAGAGACATTGTATATACTAGGTCTTGCTACTAACCTCCTATCTACTAAGAAGCTTGCCGATAAGGGCTGTTTCTATCGGAATAACAAGCGTATACTGTTTACTATTATTAACGGCGCTAAGGTTACTATTGCTTAGATATACCGAAAGAATAGTCTCCCCTATCTATATATACTAACCTCTAGTCCTAACGGCTAGGTTATTGCGCTTCTATCGAAGAAGGGGATGCTAATAGGTACGATAGAAGAATAGCATCTACGATATAGCTATATTTATTACCGCAAGCTGTTGCGAATAGAGGCTAAGGGTTAGATTGTTATTACTAGCAATAAGAATAAGAGTGACTTCCGAAACTGTATCGCTTGTCGTATAGTAACGTTATATAGGGAATATAACCGACTGCTACGACTACGACTATCTACTATTTACTATATTGTCTATATAGATATAGTTACTATTACTAATCCTAGTCTACTGCAAGAACGCTATTTCACGTTGTTTATATGCGCTAAGTTAGCCTATCGATACGAATATACTAGCTTACTAAAGTTAGGGGCTATAGTAGCAATTAAGGACTATCGTATATATATCCGTATATAGACTAGCTATTCGATCCTAATCTACCGCCTCGATAGAGGGGGTAAATATAGCGGAAATTAGCTATTAAGCTAGGCTCGTAATTAGGGCATTATACTATAGATTACGGCTGTTAGGACTAAAGAGGTTATACGTAATTGGTATGTAACCGGACTCGGGTAAAGCTAGGGTCTCGATGCCTTAGGCAGGGCTTAGCGCTTAGTAGTAGGCTAACTTGCCTACTTTCCTCCCTCTCCTCCTAGCTCCTTATCGAATACTACCTATACCTACTACTACCCTATCTACCTACTAATATACCCTTCTTATACAGTATTCGATCTACCCTTTAAGGGTAGCAGCTAGATAGTCCTTATTTCAAGCTTTTAGTAGTATAGCTACGAATAAGACTAATCTAACTATATTGCGCCCGAAGGACGGGACCTATACGTACTATTCTATCGAAGCAACTATACTAATTATTAAGCAAGGCCTTCTACACGGCCTATTACACTAAGTTAAGTATACTAGACTAATATCTACTAATTCTGCTATATCCGTATCTTAGGGGCTAATAATATATTATTAGTATTACCCCTTATAATAGCCGGCTTATTACGAAACAATAACCGTGCTACCGCTAGCAGCGCTAGCAACGACAACGCTAGTAGCATAGTGCCTGCTAAAGTGCCTGCCGAAGCGCCTACTAAAGTGCCTCCTACTAAGGTGCCTACTAAAGAGCCTACTAGAGGGCCTACTAAAGAACCTATAATCGAAGGGGATAACCTATCGTTGTCTATTAACGACATTCTTAACAACATTGTTAATCGACGATATAGCTAGCTAGCCTTTAGTCCCTAACTAGTAGCGAGACTTTAAAAAGCTACTTAGAACAGGCTTACTGCCCTACGCTAAGAACAATAGCTAAAGGATAACCTCTTCGAGCTCCGTCGCCTTTAGGAAGCCCCGACAACTAAACTAATAGCGGGACCTTCTTTACTACCTACCTAAAAGAAGGACGCTAAACTTAAGGACTGCACTGTGTTTAATAGCTCTAGTCGAAAGCAGTATAATAACTACATTCGTAACTATAAACTCAACTAGCGTAATGCACTAAGAGCGCTACTAGACGACTATTCCTTAGTCGTATACGCTATATAGTATATCAATAGCGACCTAAAGCGCACATAGGATAACCATTTCGACTCCCTTAATAACTAGACTACTGTTTAGTAGCAAACCTACAAAACTATTATACTAGACACCCTTAGAAACCCTATACTAAGGCAATAACATGCTTAGGACCTATATCTTCGAGCTAAATAGAAGACTAATCAATCGGCTCGCTTATTTAAAGCCTATTTAAAAACCCTTAAAGACGACCTTCCGCCTAAGACTAATTCTATATAGATCTCGGAAATACGCCCTAAGCTTAGGTAGGAGCTTATTCTCGAATTAGACCGCCGTCGCGTGTTCGAACAGGCTAACCTAATACGTATTCAATTCATAGTTAAAGTAGAAACAGCTAAACGAGCTGTTTAGCTTTAGTAACGACTAGAATTAAGGATCCGACTAGCTAGTACTAACCGTAGCAACTGTAGTAGCTGCGGAGGAAACTAAGGTTCCTATTAGGATAACAATACTAATAATAGGAATAGTAACGATCGTAGAAGAGGCCGTAGCCGGCGGCTATATAGAGGAGGCCGCGATAGGGGCCGTAGAAGGGGCTCGTATCCTTATAACGCTAACCGCTTAACTAATAATAATAGCTACGGCAGTCTACTAACCGGGTTGAAGTGCTTTAATTGTAATAGCACTAGCTATCTACTAGGCTAATACGACAAACCTAAGGACTAGGCCCGAATTAACCGTGCTTCCGCTAAACACCGAAAGCACCTCTTAGCGGCTAACGCTACCCCTATAGGCTAACCTTCGAAAAAAGAGTAAGCGCCGCACTAACTATTAGCCTCGTACGGCGTAAGACTATCGACATTGTACTAGCTATAATACGCTCCTACCTTGTATAGGATACGAAGGGCACTAACTATTAAACTAAGGTTATACTAGATCTAGGAAATTCAGTTAGTGCCCTTATTAGCTATCGCCTAGCTAAGCAATTAGACCTTCGATAACTACCGAGGACTAACCTACTAACCCTTACTTAGTTTAATAACGCTCGGCACTTGACCTATAGGGCCTACTATATTCCTATAGTTCTAAAGGACGACCTCGGAAATAAACGCCTACTAGACTTTACTACCTACGTAGTAGATATAGACAACCTATATAGGGGAGCTACTATTGTTATTAGCAACCCTGTTCTTAAGTACTACGCTATAGCTATAGACCTAGGCCTCTAGAAGTAGCGATTGTAAGAAGGGTATGTTAGCAGGTAGATAGGGTAGTAGTAGGTATAAGTAGTATTCGATAAGGAGCTAGGAGGAGAGGGAGGAAGGTAGGAGAGTTGGCCTAACGCTAAGCGCCAAGCCCTGCCTAAGGCATTAAGACCCTAGCTTTACTCGGCCTAGTTATATGCCAATTACGTATAGCCTCTTTAGCCCTAATATACGCTTCCCTTCTAAAGGCCGCGCCCTTATAGCCGGTCTTTATCCTAGTCTCAACCTCTATTGCTACTAACTTAGCAGGTCTAATAAGCTGCTTAGCCTACGCTAAATTGAACACTTAACTACCTAATTATATAACTATATTAAACCTTACCTCTAATAATACAATATATAACTCTAACTACGCTATCTCTATATACAATAAACTATAAAGTAATATATATCTATAAGAATTGAAGGCCTTCGACTAATTACAATACGAGCGCGTCTTCCCTACTATAATAGG